GCATGCTTACTGTATAATTAAAAATTTTACTCTGAAAGGACCAATATTTTATATTGGAAAAAGCAATATATATATATATATCAGTCATCTAGGGTGGCAAGACATAGCCTTACATATTACATGCGACAATAAATGGCGCAATGACTTATGGGGCTGGCATAGATTTTTTTTTCAAAGGCTGCTTTGGAATCCCCAGTCCGGCCCTGGTGGCTCGTTAACTGGACAGAGTTAACTCAATCCCTCTCAACGACTTATCTACTTAGGAGCAGAGATCAACACAAACACTGCTACTGTGTCCCTATCCGAGGAGTAAGACCTTTGTCTCAAGGGAAAGAAATAATATCCCCCCTCAAAGCAGTATAACTGCCAGGGACTTTATACGTCTGTTGAGATCTCTATAGTGTTCAATTTGATTAACAAGATGGGCTCAGTGGAACATAAAATTTCCAAAAGATGGCTTCTAGACTATTTCAATCAAGACTCTTTGAAGTGTCAGATGCCAGATACTTGAGCAGTAAAATGTTTCTATCCATTGGTAGCTACAGGATTCTAATCTCTACAGAAATTAAACTTTGAAGGAGGTGTCGTGGAAGATTATTACCAAAGATGCAATGCAGATGGGAGTGGGAGCACATCTATACTCACTTAATGTCCAGGGCAGAGGGTACAGTGGCAGAAGAACCATTCCTTCAAAGCAGTCTGGTTACCTATATGTCACTTCAGCCATATTCTGGAGAACCAGTGGGTGAGAAGGATTGTAGACAACCAATAAACAATCATAGAAGAACAAGGAATTCTTATGTCCATTTTCCATCCTCTTATGATTTGAGTACAATCTCATCTGGTGGGGTTGACTGTCATTTATATCCTTGGTCAGGATACACCACAGCAGATTTCCTCAGCAGAGTAGACCTGGATCAGAGGGGATTGGTCATTACAGGGAGTGCAGAATTATTAGGCAAGTTGTATTTTTGAGAATTTTATTATTGAACAACAACCATGTTCTCAATGAACCCAAAAAACTCATTAATATCAAAGCTGAATATTTTTGGAAGTAGTTTTTAGTTTGTTTTTAGTTATAGCTATGTTAGGGGGATATCTGTGTGTGCAGGTGACTATTACTGTGCATAATTATTAGGCAACTTAACAAAAAACAAATATATACCCATTTCAATTATTTATTATTACCAGTGAAACCAATATAACATCTCAACATTCACAAATATACATTTCTGACATTCAAAAACAAAAAAAAAACAAATCAGTGACCAATATAGCCACCTTTCTTTGCAAGGACACTCAAAAGCCTGCCATCCATGGATTCTGTCAGTGTTTTGATCTGTTCACCATCAACATTGCGTGCAGCAGCAACCACAGCCTCCCAGACACTGTTCAGAGGTGTACTGTTTTCCCTCCTTGTAAATCTCACATTTGATGATGGACCACAGGTTCTCAATGGGGTTCAGATCAGGTGAACAAGGAGGCCATGTCATTAGATTTTCTTCTTTTATACCCTTTCTTGCCAGCCACGCTGTGGAGTACTTGGACGCGTGTGATGGAGCATTGTCCTGCATGAAAATCATGTTTTCTTGAAGGATGCAGACTTCTTCCTGTACCACTGCTTGAAGAAGGTGTCTTCCAGGAACTGGCAGTAGGACTGGGAGTTGAGCTTGACTCCATCCTCAACCCGAAAAGGCCCCACAAGCTCATCTTTGATGATACCAGCCCAAACCAGTACTCCACCTCCACCTTGCTGGCATCTGAGTCGGACTGGAGCTCTCTGCCCTTTACCAATCCAGCCACGGCCCATCCATCTGGCCCATCAAGACTCACTCTCATTTCATCAGTCCATAAAACCTTAGAAAAATCAGTCTTGAGATATTTCTTGGCCCAGTCTTGACGTTTCAGCTTGTGTGTCTTGTTCAGTGGTGGTCGTCTTTCAGCCTTTCTTACCTTGGCCATGTCTCTGAGTATTGCACACCTTGTGCTTTTGGGCACTCCTGTGATGTTGCAGCTCTGAAATATGGCCAAACTGGTGGCAAGTGGCATCGTGGCAGCTGCACGCTTGACTTTTCTCAGTTCATGGGCAGTTATTTTGCGCCTTGGTTTTTCCACACGCTTCTTGCGACCCTGTTGACTATTTTGAATGAAACGCTTGATTGTTCGATGATCACGCTTCAGAAGCTTTGCAATTTTAAGAGTGCTGCATCCCTCTGCAAGATATCTCACTATTTTGACTTTTCTGAGCCTGTCAAGTCCTTCTTTTGACCCATTTTGCCAAAGGAAAGGAAGTTGCCTAATAATTATGCACACCTGATATAGGGTGTTGATGTCATTAGACCACACCCCTTCTCATTACAGAGATGCACATCACCTAATATGCTTAATTGGTAGTAGGCTTTCGAGCCTATACAGCTTGGAGTAAGACAACATGCATAAAGAGGATGATGTGGTCAAAATACTAATTTGCCTAATAATTCTGCACTCCCTGTATAGTAAGAGGCTTTTCTTCAGATCTCCAGACTTTGGGGGAATTCATCTGGTGGGTGTAAAAACACAGTAAGCAACGGGCAGGTCCCTAGATTACGGTCAAAAAGATTTCAAGTCTTTACATGTACTTAAGGCCCCATCGCCAATCCAAGCACCACTACAGCCCAGAGTGCACTGGTGCCATCCCACACTGTAGGTACAGTTAACCTGAGTCCCGATGCCACTACCCGACTATGTTCCAGATGAAGCATTATATTTTCACTGAGCTAAGCCTGGCCAAAAAAAGGTTTTATATAGAACACTACAAAGGTGCCAGGCCACACTATAACCACTACAGCAAATTGTAGTGGTTATGGGTTATGGTGCCTGTAGAATTCCTTTAAGGATGCATTTTTTTGTTTTTAAATAAAATCTGGTCTTAAAATGCATCACAAGGTCAGCCATACATATTTTTTTAAAATTTTTTTAATGATACTATGGTGGCACATTTCCTAGAAATCAAGGTTGTGTGAGGGAAGACGCATAAAAGGATGAGGCAGCAGAGTAAAATAAACATTCTAACTACAAACATTCTTCCCATTATGACCACAGATCATTGCTGCTTAGGACACCTCAATCTAACTATTCTACCTGGGCAGTGCAGTAAACTCCCCATTTGTGCCAAGAGGGCCTTTGCCGAGGACAGAACTGCCTCTTACATGAGATGAGGATCTGCATCATATTTCACTTTTGTTTTCAAGTGCCTTTGCCTGTTGCACTCTTCCTTTTTTAAATGCCTGCTTTGTCAGCTGTAATGTGATGACTGATCTATAGTGAGATTTCCTGATTTTTTTTTTTTATATATATATATATATATATATTTTTTTTTTTCCAAATATGCCTCCGCTTTAAGTACTTGTTTTTCATGTGTGCACGGTCATTCAGCTGAAATATTACCATGAAATAGGGTCACCCCTTTACAAGTGTAACTTTTGCCGTTATAGAGCAGTATTTGTACATTACAGATTATTGCAGATTGATTTCTTTTGACCTGCAAAAATAAAAACACAAAACAAACCCTCACAGCCACTAAAGGATCTTCCTATATGCAGTCCTGCAAAGATTAAGTTAATGTATTTCTATGGGAGGAACTGGCGAGTAAAAACTAACTTAAAGAGACACTCCAGACCCCTTAAAGGGACTCTCCAGTGCCAGGAAAACAAACCGTTTTCCTGGCACTGCGGGTCCCCCTCTCCCTCCCACCCCCACTTCAGTGACTTACCTGTATCCAGCACCAATGTCCCTCGGTGCTGGGTCAGGCCCCACCTACGCGCCTTCCCCCACCGATGGAGACCTATTGAGCAAGCGCGGCCAGGGAGACCTAATGCATTAGAGCTCCTGATAGGAAAGCATTGAAAATGGGGATTTCGGCGACACTGGAGGTCCTCCCATAGCATGAGGACATCCAGCGTCGTTATAACACACTTTTCGTGTTCTATGAACATGGAAGTGTCCTCTAGTGGCTGTCTAGTAGACAGCCACTAGAGGAGGACTTAACCCTTCAAGGTAAATATTGCAGTTTATGAAAACTGCAATAATTACACTTGCAGGGTTAAGTGTAGTGGGAGTTGGCACCCAGACCACTCCAATAGACATAAGTGGTCTGGGTGCCTGGAGTGTCCCTTTAAACACTTTTGCTTGATGAAAAGTTCTGTGTGAAAAGAGTGTTCTATTTTAAAAATTTTGGAAAAAGGTGTAGATTTCAATAGAAATTGTCAGTTTTATAAATTAACCTGGTTATACTCTTCTGGCTTTTAAAACAGACAACATGTGTCCTGTTACTTCCTGGTTTAGTTAGCTTAGTTGCACTGAACTTAAGAGGCAGCAACTGCCCCGAGCACCTGTCTTGCAAAGACATTTCATTGACCTGCATTGGGAAGTCTGTGATTGGACAGGCACAGAAAGACTAGGTGTGGTCAGAAGAGGAGGGCTCGCAAAGGCAGCAGACAAGAGATCGGCAGTTTTTAGATAAAACTCAAATTAAAAAATGCAAAATGAAATGCACTCAAGTTTTCATTTGGGCTATACCTACTAAACCGTGATTTCTATTTATTTTGTATTTGGGCAGTGGAGTGTCCCATTAATAAAGGGAAGCCCGATATTCTAAGTAGTTTATGCACCACTCTAGGCTAGGCCCAACACTAGAGTGTTCTTTTAACCCCTTAAGGACACATGACATGTATGACATGTCATGATTCCCTTTTATTCCAGAAGTTTGGTCCTTAAGGGGTTAAAAGATGTTTCCTTAACAGTTCATGACAAAAGGATTAAAATATCTATGTGCCTAATGATGGTTTAATTTTCCCCTACAGCTTAAAATTTGTTGTGTCGCTTTACATGTCAGATTTTGAATGTGACTTGTCAAACAATGCATAGATTATGGCATATTGAACAAAACATTTCTCTATTTGAACATTTTAATGGCGAAATTAAAATGCATGTTTGCAGAAAAGATGTGTAAGGAAAGTCTGGCCTTGTTAACAATTTAAGCTTAACTGAAGAACATATCAGATGGTGCGATCCTTACAGACAAAAGTCACAAAATCCAGTATTATGCAGAAAAGCAAAAAATACAAGTCAGTATAAAGTATGTAATTTTATTTAAACAATTAAGAATTTGATTCTTTATAGAATTTTGTATTTGAAAGCAGAAATTTAATCTTACATGTGTTTGTGACGTGTACGTTAAACACTTTTGTAAGTAATGGTTGTAAAACGCAGTTCTTTTACTATTTCTACATCCCGCATTAGAATGTTAATTTGAATATAAGGGAGAAAATAAAAATTTGGAGCAAGTAATTCCTTCAACATTAAGTTCTGATATACAAAGTCTTACCATCACCAAGACGGCTTAGCAGTAAGCTGCTCATTAATACACAAAACAGGCATGCATTGTTTTGGCATTTAAATACTCTCAGCCAGCCAATCATAATAAAGAAGACTGTCAATCTTATACAAACTGAAAATATACTCTTTTGCAAATAGTACACATCAGAATATTACTCTTAATACTTTGAATGGAAAATATTTTATGAAATTAAATTGTTTTGCTATAGCAGCCTAAAATGTATTTTCTGCAGGCCTCTATATAACCCAGAGGATTAAGCCATAAACAGATCAACACTTTCCCTTCTAAAAGAACCTTGGTTATGACAAATTAACTTGGTTTTCGTTAATTTTGAACTCCAACTGCTGGTAGAATCAAAATGTAATCAACATGAGCCATTTGTTTTGTTTTTTAACCCAATACCAAGCTGGAAGACAGTTTATATAATAGTTCATGCTCAATCTATATACTGAATGCTGAATACTGAATGCTAAATTAAGAAATAAGGACAAAAAAAACCAACTATCTTTATAAGCCATTACTTGTCTTCATGGTATGTGAACAACTAGTATATTTGCCTGCATTTGTATACAGGAATACCAACAGAGCACATTACAGAAGTTAACTCTTCTAAATATTAGTAATTCCTGCATTTTATTTTTCTTCTTTACTTTACTCAACAATAACCAATGGAATTTGATAGACAGCGCTCAGTGTCAACATTTTGGATAAAAAGATCTGCAACACAATCTTCTATCCATGCAAAGCAGTATACCGCGACACTTACCAAGAGGAGTAGACACAATAAATCTGCTTCAGAGATTTAATAATGTTTACATGACGCATGTACATGTGTGTACCTAGAAAATTATATATAATTCTGGGGGAGAAAGAGAAACACACATACAACCATGTTCATTCTCTAAACAGAGAACTCCAGTGAAACAAAATCCAAATCGCAACATTATAGATACATTTTCTCTAAAAATAGGGTAGAGTTGAATTACTTTTCGGTTTATAGTTCAGTTTTCGTTTGTTTTAAATACATCACAATTCACTGTTTAGTTAAGAAACACCTTAAAAATATGCCAAAGAGTATATGGATTTCGGAAATGTCAATGGAACCAGATGTAAAAAAATACACCTAAAAAAAAAAAAAAAAATGCTTGGATTTGTTTACCAGAAAACGAGTGCTAAAAATGTAATGTTTGGGGGTATTAAAACTGCATATGTAAAACAAAAAGTTACCTTACAATCTAAACGTGAATTAAACAACATTGCACTCTACCTCCACCAGAACATAACTTTTTATTAACTGTAAGCAACGTAAAACTCCACTACTTAGTCTATGCTGGTCAAACAACAAGTTTCTTCTTTGTTTAATATAAAAAAATAAACTAAACAAATTATATGGTTACAAACGGGCAAATTACTTTTGACCAGAATTTAATCTACAGAAATGACTTCAAAGAGATGTGGCATGTGGAACTAAAAGGTTCTCATAAGTTAAACGCATGGGTACAAACCTTTCGGAAACTGTATATGAAAGGGTTATTATAGAATACAGCAACCAAACAGACCTTCGCTTTGTGAATTAAGAATGTTTTTTTTTTCCAGATTCATTGTTGAATGCTCCAAGGTTTTAAATGTGTTGTGATAGATATCAAACTACCAAACAAACAAAGCTGATAGACTTACTACAGTGTGAAATACAAAAATTTAAATTAAACTAGTATTTCTAAACTACAGGAATTTAAGGTTTAAGGGGAAGAAAAGAATGAAGAACAAGGCTTTTTCTTCTTCTCAGAAGTCCATCCAACTTCACATTTCGGTTCTTTGGCTGCTTATTTTCAGCGAATTTCAAAGGCCATGCTTCATCTCCTTGCCTCTTCTGCGCTTTGCTGGTCAACTGAACCAGCACTGTTGCCAAGCAACAAGAGTAACCCAAGAAACTGACAGCATCTTCTTTGCTGCAAATCCATGATGGCCCCTAGTTTCCCCCCCTTTACGAACAGGGTGTAGCGTTTCCTCAATGGTTGAAAGGGTCACGTGGAAGAGTTCTAGAGCACCCTGCGGTCTGTAGATACCAATTTCTTTCTGCAGTTATCTTTCAGATGAATTGTCAGTTCTTTCGTAGCAGAAAGGCAATCGTGTTAGCCAGACAGTGAGCTTTTGACTCTGTGCCCTGGGGCTTGCTGACCATTGGTGTTTAACATTTCTCTGGGTGCAGCATTCCTGTGGGATTCCCTTCCCACCGCACCAGGATTTCCTAGGTTACTTCATATTAAGCCCCAGTATGCATCGACACCGACCATGGCGCGGCTATGGATGCCTGAGACTTTGTTGATTCTGGTGGATTTCTGACTTTGCTGAACCAGGCTGGTTTGCCGTCTTCTTGCTCACACCCAAGCTGTCCAACCCTCATACAGCTGAGCCAGGTTATCAAGGTTTGTTGCCTCCTTAATCACAAAGTCCACCTAAAGAGCAATAAAAGTGAGATTTACACTTGAAGGCCAATTACACAAAGACATACATATTTTATATTCTAATATTTCATTCTTTACAAATTCCCCAGGCGCGTGTGTGTGTGTGTATAATAATTGTGGGGATGTAGTAAGACCAGGTCCTTAAACCCGGTTTTAAATCACCCTTCTCTATGCTTTATTCAAGTTCCGTATTTTCCCACCTTACATTCCAATTAGATAGCAGAAATAGAATGTCTTGGGGCAGGCCCTTCTGTTCCCTCCACAATCCATTCTACTCATGTCTACCCAGAGTGTAGGTAAACTGTGACCAGTATAATACAGAATTCCAATTCTTCTTTGCAGCATATTCTTATATCAGATTGTAAGAGCCAAGATCAAGGTCACAACCCAGGGACCTCTTCTAAAAAGCACAGCTAGTAACAGGAAGTGAGTAGGAGGAGAGGTAATAATTCAGAGTGTGGGTGTGAGCTATGGCATGTGACCATGTTCAAAGGAGAGGGGACGCAAAATTTCCATGTGTAGATCCATCCCTCATATGGTATGAAATCATGCAACATGTTAGAGAGACAAACCAAACAATAAAATCAGCAAACTAAAACCTACAATGTGGCAGCAGATCAGTGTGGGGGTGTCTGTATGTGCGTGGAATTGTGACGGTGGGTAAGTGAGAGTATGGGAGGCAGTGTTGGAAAGGGTGACCGTGTGCAGGGGCAGTGTGTGGGAGGGGTGACAATATGGAGTGCAAGTGTGTGAAAGGGTAACAGGGTGAGGGAGCAGTGTGGAGGAATGTGACAGTTTAAGGGGCAGGGTGTGAGTGGGTGACAGTGAGGAGGAAGATGACAGCATGAGGGGGCAGGGTGTGTGACCGCATGAGGGGGCAGGGTGTGTGACCGCATGAGGGGGCAGGGTGTGTGACCGCATGAGGGGGCAGGGTGTGTGACCACATGAGGGGGCAGGGTGTGTGACCACATGAGGGGGCAGGGTGTGTGACCACATGAGGGGGCAGGGTGTGTGACCGTGTGCATGGCAGAGTGTGTGTGTGTGACAGTGTGGGGGAGTAAGGTGTGTGACAGTGGGGGCGGGGGGCAGTGTGTTTGACAGTGGGGCGGGGGGCAGTGTGTGAGAGTGGCATAACGGGCAGCCCGCCAAGTCCCCCTCTCACGGTCAGGTCCTCTGTCATGGACCGAAGATCCGACAGTTCAATCTGCCCTAAGGCGAGGCCTTAGGCGACCGCCTAAATTGCCTAATTAGAGAGCCGCCTCTGCTGAAGATGTTCTCAAAGTTTGTATTGTGTAGACTTCCAAAACATGTCAATTGAATCCATTTACAACAACAATCTACTCAGGAGAGTTGGTTTACCTGCTCTGCAACAGACATCCTTCTGTTGGGGTCCACATCTCGTCCCTCCAGCTTCGCCTTCACTCTTTTCCAGACACTGACTGCATACGAATTTCTCTCTTGTACAGCTGATTGGTGGATGAAAAAAACCCAAAACAAAACATTAAACACTGCAATGTTTCCTTACTCAGACAAGGCCATCTTTACAAGAATTGTATCATGTAGCGGTGCTAGCTTTTATGGCCCAGAAGGTTACAAATGGATTGTGTAGACAAAAAGACACATAACAATTTCTCCCTTGTTAAAAAAAAAAGTAATGCATGGAAGTTTTTTTTTTTTTTTTTTTTAATTTTAAATATAAATACAATTATAGTATCATTGTTGAAAATGGTACCACAGCATTTAGGTTATAACCAATTTATAGACTCCCAAAAATATATATATATTTAAAGAGAACAGATGAAAATCAGTTATTTTAACAATCTAGGGAAATTTCGGTAGTGTCCAGACGGGGTGAGCCAATTCTATAAATGAATTGTCAAAATATGTGGCAATAAACAATGGCATAACCTCATATGTAGAAAATTATATAAATGTAGAATTAACCCATGATGTGTAAAAAGAAAAAAATCTAGTACAATTACCAGGAGTAGATACAATACAGATGTAGATAAAGTATAGCTTAATTAATAAATATTTATATGTGAAAGACAATTTTGTCTGCTGCTAGATTCGAAAAAAGGCCGAATAAATCAGTAGCAGCAAACTAAATAGTTTGAGGGGTATATCGACTAAACGGTGAGTAGTGTGTACAAGAACTATTGTCTGCACTTTATTCATTTCACATTACTCACTGTTTAGTCGATATATACCCCTTAAACTATTTAGTTTGCTGATACTGATTTATTCAGCATTTTGAAATCTATTTATATGTGAAAGACAATTTTGTCTGCTGCTATTTTGTTATTCATTGAGCTATTCTTTTATCTACATTTGTATCTACTCCTGGTAAATGTACTAGATTTTGGTCTTTTTACACGTCATTTTTTATTCTTCAGCATAGAGTCTGTGCTGTTTTAATACTAGTCGTTTAGGAGATACACATTGCTATTAGACCATTCTGTTTTTTCCTTCCATTATTTAACCAAGATATTATTTCCTCTTCTATTATTTTTTTATTCACTATAGAATTAACCCAACTGAATAATAATTATTTAAGTGTCATTATAAAGCTGGTCAGCATTCTGGACAGACTGTTATATAGCATGCTTGATACATCGATTCTGGGAAGACAAAGCTCTTTAACTAAACAGATTAATTAGCATGTGCTAAGTGCCTTACCTTTGCCAGTTTTAGGATCTCGAACTGCCTTTTTAGGACTTGAAGCAACGCTCTTGCCAGGGCCTGGAAGGGTGCTTGGTGGAGTATTTGCTGATGGTGCCAGGTTTTTCTGAATTGGCTTTTTTGTATTCTGAGACATGCCTTCTGACTGTGTCTTCTGAACAGTGTTGCTACGAACAGCTTTGGATATGAAGGGAAATGAAGATGTAAGAAAAAAAAAAAAAAAAAACCCTATTGATTTACGTTTTCCTTTACTGTTTTTTAACTCCTCAAATAACAGAAAGGTGGACAACACACTGTGCTGAAAAAAACTGTTAAATGACAGATTGCAGAATCTAACATTTATGGCATAATTAGTTTAAAAAAACCATTACAATTGGAAATCATAAACGCTAAGATGCTCCTGCTTTCCTCGCTAGTCAGTAAAAAGAACTTACCACCTCTCGCTATCTGACTAAAAATGATGCCTGACTCATCTAGGTGTAAACAGAAAGAGACAAGTTAACATATTGACTACTTTCAGTTGTTCTCTTAAAGACATTCTATATTCTGAATTCAAGTACATTTAAGCAATAAAGCCTACCTATAAGCATGGCATATGTGATTCCAGAAAAATCTGGTGAGTCAAATGTACGCCAATACCAAAGGTAACTTGCAAATTAAGAGTGCTTGCACATAGTAAACTAACAGTATCCTGGGGTAGTTACTATAGCAACAAACAGCAAATACACCTTTTTCTTTATGTCCTATTTACAAGAGAGTAAAAGCTTGGTGGTGGTCCACAACAATGCAGGAGAAGCAGGACGCGGATGTTAAATGCAGGTTTGATCAGGGAAAGAAGTTATTAAGCCTGCTGCGGTGGTACACTAATTTGCTATAAATGTGGCAACACTGGCTTCTCCTTTACAACTCTCCAAGCTAGACAGCCAATGTGCCGCAGCTTAGACTAGGAGCCAAAGGATGCTATAGTATGCAGTTTTGTGTTCCCATCTCCTCCCTGTGATTTAGAAGTCCTACCAGTCCTTTTCACTACGGATCCTACAACAATCACCCAGGCAAATATAACCAACCACCAAAATGCTATGTCACCTAACTGTACCCATACGGTCACATACTGCCTCCCAACCTGCTTACACACACTGTCAAAAACCCCTACCAACCCTACTAGAGAATGAGTATGTAGATGTATGGGCAGGGATAGACATGAGAAATATGCAAGAGGGATAGGGAAAGAAAAATAGCTGAAGGAAAATGGGGAGCAGAAATCTGCAGAGATCTGAATTAACTGAAGACAGACAATAGCAGGAATAGTCCCAGTAGCCTTGGTTCCCTGGCTTCTAGGAGTTGTCAGTCATAGATAATAGAATTGATACATCAAACAACTGTTCTGAGCTTGATCAGTATATGGCCTTACCTGCAGCAAAACTGGGTAGATATGTAGATGATGTGGTCTGGCTTGCACATTCATTTGCTGCATCTGTCACCAAAGGGGAGGCAAAACTCACCAGGTTGTTGTATATGCTGGAAAGAGATAATAAATTAATATATCTATATCTTCAAGCACCATGACAATGTAAATATAGTCAAAACTACTATTTACCCCTGGCTTTGCTTTTTTAGCTCTTTCAGGGTGGGAGTGATTTCTTGCAGCATTTCAATGTGTTCCTGGCTGCGAACCTGACCCAAGGATTGAACCAAGGTAAAGAGAACAGTCTGAATGTTGTCCTGCCATGACTTGTACTCGCCCAAAAACTGTCTAACACTGCTCTCATAGGGCACCTCTTCACCATCTGCAATGGCAGCTTCCTCATCCTTTAAAAGAAACAGTAGCGATATAGAAAATATCGTTTTAAAAAATGAATGCACACATTACATAAATGTATATATTAATTCAAATTTGTGAAACATTTGCCAGTGTGGAAAAATAAAATAAAATAATATATAAAAACACAACTTGCAAAATGAGCAAACCCAGTTCCTACTATAGGGTCATATGGCACTTTTATATAGATATATAATATATGTCCAAAGTGCCATTTATTTTTGCATCGAGAGTAGAACAGTACATAAATCTGTATTTTACCAATAGTATTCCAGGCTTTTGCTACCAGTCTTTTTTGCGACTCCACTCACATACTCCCAATTTTACCCATAATGGGCGAGTGTGAAAGAAGAAGGAGAAAGCACAATGAAAATGGAGTTGAAGAACATAGTTATGAACAAACTGAAGCAAAATGAACGAGTATTCAGAAAACAGGAAGTGCACTACTTCAGGAAACAAATTGTTAGTAAACACAAATCTTACTTTCTTTCCTGTATTACGGAAACAAAAGCATCATGTTGACATGCATCTCCTAACTGTGGAACATACGTACAGAGAAAGCGGCAGTATTATAGATACATACTTTACACAAAGAATCACAAACTTAGTGCATGGCTCTTGGAATTGTGCAAGATACAAATTATCGGTTATGCTTATATTTAGAGAATATCAATCTACCCAGAAATCATGGCCACTGGTGGCATAGGTGGGTTGAATTCTACACAGGGTCTGAATGTTATAGGATAAATTATTTAGCACGTGTTAATCTGGAAGATGAAAAATAAAGCCATCTATCGACTTAGTGACACACTGCTGCATTACTTGGGTGATAAACCACCTGTGATTCTCCACAATGGATGACGGATAAGATTATAATGAATTATGGATCCTTATATCTCGGATCAAGAGTCTTCTTTCACCTGTCATAAACCAAATGTGAACAAAATCCTCAGCGTCCTCCGTAAATGAGCTTTCCCTATCCAACTTTAACTCCTCCTAGGGAGGCATAGCGAGGAACAGGGACAGGAAAGCACCAAGTAGTATTCAAGGTTTTCAACACAGGAATGGCAGTGGTAGAGGAGATGGACCCAATGGCTTTTACCAGAAGTCATTCTACAAGACCGATAATAGAGCAATGCTCAAAACGGACTGGATTTTCTAAAAATGTAACCTTTTCAAAAAAGGACAAGTATACAACGCTAATCTAACCTTTGCCATGGCTTTAAGTAGGTGTTTAACATCTCCAAGTTGTTTGTTGTGACTAGTTAATATGGTCTTGATGCAGTCCACCAGATTCTGGGTGGTTTCACACACGGTTTCTATTTGCTGATCCTTCTCACTCTGTAGGTTTCGCTGGCTTGACATATCATGGCTCAGTTGCTTGTGAGCAGAAACCAGCCACTCAGGGCTTCCAATTGCGTTCTCTCCACAGGGTCCCTGCAACATCATTACAGTAAATGGTAACTTATGGCAGAAGCTCAAAACACATTATTTTTAGTCTTTTTTCTTAAATTAAGATATCTAAACACAGCAGACACGTCAATTCAGGGAATATGGTGACAAGGATTTACTTTGAAGAAGTTGTAGACAACCACAATGACAAAAATGTAGACATTCCTATGAAAAGTCAATATTGCAAGTTTTTTTTTTTTATAAAAATAGACCAAAACATTTTAGGATTTATTCACTTAAGAGTGAATCACGGTGGGTCAACAATGACAGTGCAAAACCGAAGAAAAAGTAAGTTAAAATGTGAATATTGCAAAACGACATACTTTAAAATTTAGAGCTGGCCTAAGACAAAAAGCATTATGCCAACGATCAAACCTGTAATGGTTCCTTGTAAAAATTCTACACTAATGGGTATGCAGAATTTTTTAAAGTCAGGTTCATAATGAATTCAATAGAAACCCAATTTCAAGTTAGAAATGTCAATTTAGTGGACAATGGTGGAAAAATGATTCTAAAATCTATGTTTATGAAAACACCTAAGACACAATATGCCGATATACATTGTAACTGTATTTCATGCAAGTGTATTGGTTCTCATTTTATGTGCATTATAATAGGTTTAAAGAGATTTTTTTGCTCTGCGTATACAGCGGTTAATTGTGCTAATGGACGATTTAACAGGATGTATGTAGCCTGTTAATTTTTTTTAATTAAATTATATCATCCCATTAAAACAAACATTGTAGCAATAGCTGGCATTCTGATGTACTAACCACTCTCTTTAGTAAACGTAGTTCAAGATCGGACACGGAGCTATTGAACTGGGACGCAAAGGAGCACATCTGCTGGCAACGCTTGATCAAGTCAAATAATCCAGAATCCAAACTAACTGCTTCTGCTGTTCGCGTGCGTAAGCTTTCAAAATGAAGGATCGTGCTGCACAAAAATGTGACCTGGCAAAACAAAAGGAAGGGAGAATTTGCACACTCTGTAGGAGACCTAGGAATATTTACAATGAAAAGTGAAAGCTGTGTTCACCTGGTTTGTTCTCTGGGTTTCCTTGAGTATAAAATTTCTTCTCTCTGCAATGGTGGTCTCAAAGTCCTGAAGGACTGGTGCTAAGGCAGGATTTGCGCCCCCAGCCCATTTCAAGCGCTGCTCAATGCTTGCTTCCAAAGCAGCCAGTTTGTCCTGATAGCAAAATAGAAAAGAGTTATTATCCCTGCACAGTGGATTATGGTAAATTTAAAGACTGAATTAAAAAATTCATGCCAAAATAGCAGAGTAAAAATATTTTTTTGCCCAATGCAGCTTTTTTGGCCTTCAATGATCACAGTTCAGTAAATAAGTTTCTCTCTTTTGTACTCTTTCCCACTGTCACCTTTTCAAATGCTATGAAAATTAATAAAAAAAAATAAAAAAAAAATAAATAAAAAAAAAGACATTTGAAAACATGTGATATCTTTAAGAAATTACCTCACTATGACAGGGGTAGGCAACGTTCGGCACTCCAGATGTTGTGGACTACATCACCCATGAACTTCTTACAGCCAAAATTCTGGTAAAGCATCAGGTGGATGCAGTCCAAGACAGCTGGAATGCAGAAGGTTGCCTTATCCTGCTCTAGAACATGAAGTCACTGTGCACTTCACAGGTCAAGGAAATGACTCCAAATACAGCTGAAGTGGCAATGGAAAAATAAGACATGCAATGAGGTACAAAGGGTTAATAATTCCACTATTCAATGACGTGTTTAATATCCGGATCCAACAGATTATAGTACAATATATGGGGCTTGGTACCTGCAGTGATTATAAAGAACAGCATTCCAGCCATTTGGTTAACCAAAGCATATATGTGACATTGTTATTCTCTATTTCTGTCTAGTTTGACATTCACTCTGCTGTCAGAAAAGTAAAAGGACTAGAAAGCTGTGGTGTCAATAGATGGCAGCTTGTATAGTTGTTTACCTTGAAAATGACACATTTTACAGGATTATTCACTAGTAAGAATCGAAAATTAATTTGAAATTTAAGGCCAATGAATAATGCTTACCTATGGAGATGTGTAATGCGCGCGCTGCCATTGCCGCGCATGCACATTAGGCCTCTGCTGGCAGGAAGGGGGATAGGTGGAGCCTGATTCAGGTTAGTCACTGAATGGGTTTTAAACCCTTCAGCTACATGGGATGAGGTGTAAGGGAGAGGGGCACTGCAGGATTCTGCAGTGCCAGGAAACAGATTTGAGTCCCTTTAAATTCTCACTTATTCTTAACTAATCATACACAGCTATTGATATTAGTTTATGGCCAGAATCTATGGAGCAGGAAGCCCTAAAAGCCTTCCCGACCTGGTTCCAAACAATCAGTTCCATTTAAACACCAAATTATAAGATATGTACACCTGAGGGGAAAAAATATAAATATATATAAAAAATGAAAATCTACAAACAGAATTTAAAAAAAAAACAACTCATCATAGAATAGTGTTATAATAGCTATACTTAACCTAGTCGTAACAAAGAAAAAAAAGAACTAAATATATTGGCTCTAGCAGCCATATCTTTTCCAAAACAAAGATCCAATGTGTAACAATACCTGGACTGCTATGATAGAAGAGTCAATTTGTCCAAGAGCGTGGAGCTTTTTCTTCATGCTGGTTAGAATGGCAGAGCGAGGTGGAGGAGTAACGGACATCGTCTGTGGCCGGTTGATAAGTAGATCCTCGTGTTGCCACTATGCAAATACAGATAAAGGATACTAGTGGGTCGGTGATTCTCTTCTAAAGCAAAGTGAATTTTGCTATGGGTGCAAGTGAAATTCAGCTCACTTGTGAGAGCACATGAAACATTTTAATTGTCAGATATGATGGGTTATAATAATAAAGGCAGTCCACACCAAAAGCACATTTTGTCCAGGCCCTGACATTCTCCAATGCACAGATAATTATTTAAGGCAAGACCATTATAAAATATATGTTTAAAACTTGATTTAAAAAAAAAATATCCCCTAAAAGGAGCATTAAGGAAAAAAGAAAGGTGTGAAGGCTAGGTTATACACAGCATGGGGGAAAAAAAGCATGATTCGACAAACATTTATAAACAATAGGATTAATTACCTGAAACATTGCAATGTGCAACTGTACACGCTGCAGGCTGGTTTTGCAAGAAGCGATGTTAGTTTCAAGGCGTCTGACCAAATCTTGTTTTTTCCAAGCGGTGTCATACGAACTGGCTAGGACAGTGGCTCTGTTCATTACCGGCTGGGAAAACTTTGCAGTGTGAATGTTGTGCTCCACTGCCTTTTTGCAGAGATCGTCAACAGAAACCTTGCTTTCGGCTCCAAAGTCCTTTGCTTCAACTTGGGCAATGACATCAACCCCTAGGGTGCTGATGAAGCTACAGAGTGTTAACCCCAGAGCCTGCGTTGGAAGACCAATCAAGAGCTGCCTGACAAAATCAGCAGTAAATGCCTTGATCGGTTTGGACATTTGATCTTCACTGAGACAAGTATTCCTGTAGAGAGCTTTAACATTAAGCAACTGCACAGGGCCATTTACTGGATTTTGATCATCAAGAGAACATTTCCCTGTAAAAATAAATAAATAAAATTACATTTGCAATATAATTTAAAAATAATGATATTTGTCAAGGCAGCTGCACGCTTGAGTCTCAGTTTGAGAAAGTAAATTATAAGCCCATGAAATCAGACAGATTGTGATGTATTAAGCCTCTAGCTTTTTTTCATAATCTACTCCTTTCTACAAAACCCTTGAAAATCGTCCAATGGCGAGAGAATCCACACTGTATCACGCCCTGCGGTTAGCACCTTATTAACATCCTCATCCACTGGTTTACCATGACAATGGTTCCTGTCTGCTCAAGGATTGGCAGAACTGCATTCTACAATGAGTTGCTTCATATCAGGGCTTGTAGTTGTGTACAAAACTAACAGGGTTACTCACTAAAGTGAAAAGTGATGGGAATTCAAAGAAAATAATCTAAGGCCAAAATGAAAACATGGCTGACTTGGAGAATTTTTCTAATTTGACCCAAACTTATAGAAACATAGAATGTGACGGCAGATAAGAACCATTTGGCCCATCTAGTCTGCCCAATATATCAAAATACTTTCATTAGTCCCCGGCCTTATCTTATAGCTAGGATAGACTTATGCCTATCCCACGTATGCTTAAACTCCTTTACTGTGTTAACCACTACCACTTCAGCTGGAAGGCTATTCCATGCGTCCACTACCCTCTCTGTAAAGTAATGCTTTTAGTGAATAACCCTGTAAAACACCATGGCACGAAAACATGCATACACAGATTTTTTTTTTTAGCAGTTGAAATGGTGTTCAACGTAACATTTACCTTATCTATGTGGTCAGAGTTTATGTGCATTTACTTTTTTCAGTTCTAAAATGTATAAGCTTGTTCTGTGCTGCTTATCTTTATCTCAGAGCTGGAGATCTTGTGGAGGATATAGCTAACCCTATTTATTTTAGAGAGACACTCCATTGCATTAAAGTGACACTGTAGGCACCCAGACCACTTCATCTCATTGAAGTGGTCTGGGTGCCAACTCCCATGACCCTTAAACCTGGCAAGTGTAATTATTGCTGTTTTTATAAACCACAATAATTACCTTGCAGGCTTAGGTCCTCCTCTGATGGCTGTCTACCAGACCGCCACTAGGGGGACTTCCGGTTCTTAGACGACTTTGGGTCGTGTAAACGACACTGGACGTCCTTGCGCTATGCATGAGGACCTCCAGCTTAGCCGGAAACCCCATAGGAAAGCATTGAATAATGCTTTCCTATGGGAAGGTCTAATGCACGAACATGGCCATTGCCGTGCACGCGCATTAGGTCTCCCCTGCCGGCAGGGGAGGAGCGTGGGCAGAGCCTGACAGAGGGCCGAGGAACATCGCGCTGGATTTAGGTAAGCTTCTGAAGGGGTTTTAACCCTAGAGAATCCTTTTAAAAATAAGCACAATCAGTATTTAGTAGACATACATGCAATTAAAAAAAAATGCATGGGGGGCGGGGCCTAGCCGCCATGCTGGCTGGTCGCATGGAACAACGGCTCAGACAACTTTCTGCCTTTTTAGGCCTCCAAAACTGACTTACTGATCCTTCCAGCCGACCAAGTGTGATGGGCTGGCACACGGAGAAGAACTGGACCCGGGGAGAGGCTCGCAGTATTCGTTTCAGTCCCTCGGAGAGATATACGTCGTCCCCATGGGATGAGGCCTACTCAGGTGGTGAGTGGGGTGGACGGCCGCTGCCCCGCTATCCTGCCCGACGGTATCCAGCCAGACTCCCTCGGATTGGCGGTCCGGGCCCTGCCCCCCCCCCAGCTTGCCTCACACAATATAAAGACACCTCTGCTAGTATAATAACCTGTCACACTACTTACTGTGCTTTCAATGCCTATACACCACATCAAATACAAGCTACGCACACACAATCTCAAGCACAACAAGTTTTGATATATGCATATCTAGTCTGGCGTGTTACATTATAAAATGCTACTGTCTAATAGTCTGTTACCCTCAATTACAAAAAAAAAATAAAAAAATTGTGCTGTCTAAAATGCCACACATTGAAATGTCATGCAATTGCCTGTATATGCAGTCGTGGCACTGCACACTTGTTGTTAATCTATGCACAAGAAAAAAAAATAAAGAATAAAAAAATTTTTTTTTTTTTAAATGCATGCATTAAATTATGCATCCCCCACCCGACATCAGTGGTATATCTAAAAACAGCATGCAAAACTGTAGATCTCTTGTCTGCAGACCCTTAGCAAACCCTCCCCTTTTAACCCAGACCAGATTTTCTGTGGTTGTTCAAAGACTTCCCAAAGCAGCTCAATGAGAAGTCTTTGCAAGGCAGGTGCTCTGAGCAGTTGCTGCCTCTTGAGTTTAGCGCTTATAAGCTAACCAAACCAGGAAGACACAAGATCTGTTGTCTGATTGACAGCCAGGGGGTGTAAGAAGGTTAGTTTAGAAAAGTGGGGATGCACACCTGAAACATGCCCCTCAATTCCCCTTTTTTCTGTGTAGAATGCAGACCAGATACCTATTGGGCTGAGCACCACACCCACCCACTGTAGGTGCCCATTTGGAGGTGGCCACAGAAAAGCATAAATTTGAGGAGAGTTTTTGAAAACGGTTTAAGCAGTATGTATTGGTAGTCAGCATGTTAATCTCCCATTTTAAAATTTGTGTAGAACCCACCAATATTGGGGTATTGTGACACAGTGATGGGCTTAACACAATATGGCCATATGATGCAACTAAATCTGCATATTTGTTTGCTAACATTGGTGATTTTAAGTAGCCATGTAAAACAGATTATTTTATGTGCGCTGTTACTTAGTCCGTATTTAATTTCTATTGAAACTTTCTAATTTTTGCAAAATGAAAAACAAGAGTACACCTTTCACACAAAGCACTTCAGAAAGCTAAAGTGATTTAGGTGTTTGAAGTGTTTTTAACCCTCCCTAGTGGGGCAATAACACACTATAGACATATGAAGGACAGAATACTCTACCAACTTGTTATGGGGAGGAAATAGCTAAATTTAATATAATCTTCACATTTGCTGTAATTTGCTCTTCATAACTATTCTCTATTTGTTTAAAATAGGTAGTTAATGCTAAAATAATTTATAAATCTGACAGTTAAGTGACAGACATTTTTTTTTTTTTTAAACTGGTGAATATACAGATAAACAAATATACAAAAATGATCATTACCAGATAAGGTTTGAGAGAATGTGCCACACAATCTGAAGAACTCCCGAATAGTCTGCAGTCTTTTTAAAAAGAATATCTCATCCAAAACACTCCGAAGTTCATCATTATCAAAGAAGTTGACTTGTGTACTGCGTGCTTCCCGGATAATATCAACTTTCCGCCATGCTGGTGGCACCTCCATTATCTTCAACTTGGAAAAAGAAAACGCAGGAGAACACACTTCTAAGTAGCAGAATGACATGACTAAATGCATTTGCCTCGTAAGGCATTGTTCAAGTATGTCCTTATTTTTTGCAATCTTAACCAGAATCCAAGATCCAGTATGCGTAACTACTGGACAAAGAAGTCTCAAAATCAATCTCTTTCCCCAATATCAACAAATTTCATTGTGACTAAATTTGAGTCACAAGATTTCAACCTCACCAAAAGGCATAAACAGACATTCTATTAGTGAACTTTGTTACAAAGGCAACTAATGACATTTATTTAACAATGCAAACATGCAAAAAAAATAAAAAAATGGAAGGCCTTTGAATTAGGTTGTCACATAGGCCACGATTTCATATTTTTTGGATAAGATTTTCAAATAATCACAAATTAACTAATTATCTACAGAAATCACCAGGTCTGTGGGAATTTTGATAGACAAATCACTGGAAAAAAAATTCTAACAGATTGTAATCATTAGCTTGCACAAAAATGAAAAATCTATTAAAAATCAAGGCCATAGTTCTAAAAGGATCACTGACAAATTATCTACCTTTTCCACTAGTAAGCCAAATGCAGTCTCAACTTGAGCAAACATCCCATCAAAAGCAACGAGTAGCATCTGGCCAGCTGACATTTTTGGAGTATCTTCCACTGATCCATTCCTTGGTTGTATTAAATCTCCATACTGTGAGTGAAGTGATCTGAAGAAAAAAAAAAGAAAAAGAAAAACAAACACTTTGTTTTAATATATTAATGGTGGAGGACCTCTCCAGAAAGGGTTATAGGCATCAAGCAGTTATGCAAAACATTGATATTGATATTTGTGGTGTGCATTTGGTGTGCATTTGTTTGCAGTTGTGGATACGTTTGAAAAGCATCCTTAATAGTTATATAGATATTGAATATATATATATATCCATTACAGAATCAGCAGCAGAGCATGAAGGAAGTAAGCTTTCATATGGTATTGTGCAATACTGCACCACAAGTCACCTTTCTTTTTAATACTGAAGTGCTACAATACAATTGAACAGTGCTACAAAATAAAGCAAGAAAACCAGCATTGTAAAATATGCAATGTCCATTACAGATCAGATCTTAAAAGGATACTATAGACACCAAAACAACTACAGTTTAATATAGTAGTTCTGGGACAAATAGCATACCCCCTAAAGCCCCAGCATTGTAAACGCTGGCTTATCTGAGAAAAGACTATATATACACTGCCGTCTATGGCCACCGCTAGAGGGACTTCCTGGGTTTGGCCCCGCACAGATTGTAGGTACGACGTTCAGCGTCTTCACGCTCTGCATAGAAACACTGAACACTGCTCAGAGATGCGCTGAGTCAATGTATCTCATTGATATATCAATAGGTAATATTACACTAAAACATTAGGAATACAGGTTTGTATACCCAACGCTATAGTGTTCCTTTAAACACAGCTCCTACTCAAACCAATGGTGCTAGTAACTGATCTACTGCCAGTGCTTCCTGTGAAAGTATTCAATCAGAAAGCGCTGATTGAACACAGGAACTATTGAAGTGTACCTTGCAATGTCAATGTATTGGATATTGCTTTCATCTTCCAATCCCATGCCAATGTTGCGCAGATAAGCTTGAAGAGAGTCAATCAGGGCCTGAAGGGAAGTACCATCGGTAGTTTGCTCAATGAGATTGTCCAGCTCTTGAAGCATGTTTTCTAAAGTATGTTCAGCTTTCATTAGACAGCGAAGAGCTTCAGGAAAAATGATCTGACGGAAATTTGAGTTTAATTCCTTTAAAAAGAGGGGAGGAAAAAAATTTTTTTTTTTTTTTTAAAGTGTCACCTTCCTAAAATAATTGTTTTGTCTTTAAAGCAGTAAGACTTAAATCTTGCACGTGTAGTTTGTTAAAGATCCAGCTAGATTTACCTGAAGAGTGGTATACACAGCATTAGCTAGATGTACAGCTTCAGATGTCTCCATTGGGTTGGGGATATCTAGATCCTGAGGAACAAGCTGGCACTGTTTCAGTAACTGTACCAGGCATGTAACATTTCCGCTCATGCTGCAGAGCTCCTCTAAAAACCAGGCTCCATCTCGAGAAGTAAGATCCACCAGCTGCTCGCCAGCGCTGGATGCAGCACCTTCCATCATTAAATTACGCCTACAAGATAAAAGTGCATGGTGGTGTTTAGAGATTCAACAATACAGAATAAACATGAGTATTTAAAGGAAGTAAAAATAGCAAAAAACATTTAAAATTATATAAAATCTGATTAAAAAAAAAAAACACAAACAAAAAACAAGAATGAAGTTTCTTTAAATTTAAGATATTTTCAGTCATAAGTATACACAGGCCAGCACAAGGACAAACCTAGTCAAAGAGCACAGAGCCGAGATGACAACACTTGCAAGACTTAGAGAACCTTCCTCCCCATTCTCATGGAGGAATACTTTGATGCAACGTTCTATTTCTTTCAACTGGTCCTCGCAAACGGGAAGTGAAACAGCCTCTTGTTTAAGCCGTTCCACTTGTCTCAAAAGTCTATTGTTGGTATCTGCTGCATAACGCTGCAGCGCCAGCTCTGTTGCAGAGATAAACTGACACACAGTTTGGGGCGGCTGAGGAGCATACTGAATTTCATACCTGGAAAAACATAAGTGAACAGAGATTAAGAAACGTGTCCACTGAACGGCTGCTCTTACATTGTTAATACTGCGTACACATTAAATCAGTAAACGCTACCAAAACTAATGTTTGCTTGGACAGCAAATTAACAATGAAAATATCGCATGCATGATAACCTCTCAATTGACACACATATTTCGAAGCACATTATTTTATGGCTACAATGTGCATCACTGGAAGCAGCGAGTTAGTCTGGGATCACAGAGCTTCACAGATTTTAGGAAGCATTTCCAATAAAAACCATGCATATATGTATTGGAAGTGTGAACATTTGACCAGTGCGCTGATACTCTTGCAGCTTAACTCAGAATTAAATACAGGCAGAATTCTACCCATGTCCAATGCACAGAGGACTGTTACAGAGGTAAGAGTGCAGTCTCACAAACGACACAGGAACTATATGGAATTCATCTTACAAATGCAAGACACTAAGAAAAGTTTTCTACCAAAATACCACAAGTCGATTTATCCTTTGATAAATATTAAGTTTTATAAACACATACAAATGTGAGCTGACCATTCCTTTAAAAGACCAACATTTCTTTATTTTTCCACACTTTGGAAGTTTTTAGATCTTTAAAATACAAAAAGTCATTCAAGAGCAGCAGAGCAGTAAAAGCTAGCAGAGTTCTGACATATCAGTTTGGTGCTTTATACAGATCTACTACTCACTTCCTGCAGATATCCTGGCAGTGTTCTGCCGTCATGTTGCAAATAAGCTCTTCCATCCACGTCTTCCATTGGTCAATTCTGTGTTTCAGAAACACAGCCTTTGGGTATAGCAGTGCCACTGTTGCGTAGTTGTGTAGATGTTCAAGGCAGCCACGCAAAATGGAACGTCTCTGCTGCAGCAGAGCACCAACTTCTCCTTCATACTGCTCACATTGTGTGATGAGGTGTGCCTGGCCAGCATTTTGAAGAAAAGAGGTGGCTGGTACATAGCTTGGAGGACCTTCATAAAAAATTAAAGTTACAGGACAAAAAAAAAAAAAAAACCAGAAATGTAGCAATTAATAAAACATATGAAATTAAATGAAACTCTTGGGAATCTGAAATAACTGTTAACCCTGTGTAGGTAGGTACGTGACCTTAAATCTCCTAGCACCAGGGCTTTGTCATTTCAAAGGAACGCACCAGCCAGTAAGAAACAGGTTTCCGTGATATAAATGTTTAAAGGAAAAGTAATAGTCCTATCAAGAGCTCAATACCAAAAGCCTCATTTGATTTATATTTGAAACAAAACAAGATTAGTAAGGAAATACCTAAGTCCATTTGGCTGCTTATCTCTTGAAGGAGGCCAGCCAGTTGAGTGGCTTCCAAACTATTGAAAGCAGCCTGATACTGTGTTATCCACTGCTCAAATTCATTCAGCTTTACTTGGATTGCTTCCTGGACTGCCCTCTGCTGAGTCTGTAACTGTGTGTGCTCAGAATACCTATATATAAAAAAAAACAACAAAATATAAAAAACATTTTATGACGCAACATTTAAAGGGTCATTCCAAGCACCTGAATAACGTTTATCCATATTTACATTAGGTTATGTTAAGTCAACTGAGCCAACGTACTATGCATTGTGAAACCAACAAATTGTGCAAACAGACTACGAAAACAGGGCGGAAAAAATACCTTGGCATTTGCACGCACTAAACAGACCTAGTACTTTTCAAAACATCTCAATCTAACGTGCACAAGTGCATCTCTCTTTAAACACACAAGATAACTTTGGTTGGCTGAAATTGTCAAAGGTTAAAATATCAGAAATTGGTATGGAGGTTAAAATATCAGATTATCTGTAAATAAAAAAATTCAGAGGGCGGGTTTTTTTTTTTTTGCACCCTGGGTGTGATACTTTAAAGGGAGACTATAATCACCAGTGCAACTACATGTATTCCTGACCCTATAGTGTTAACACGACCATCTAGCCCCCCTGGGCCCCTCATGCCTCCATAAACATAGTACAAATCTTACTGTATTTAAGCTAAAAGTTGTAAATCTGCATGCTGTTAGACTCTGGAAAAACAAGCAGCTGACATGTGATAGCCTGATCCAATCACAGTGCTTCCCCATAGGATTGGCTGATAAGGAGGCAGATCAGGGGCAGAGCCAGCATGATTCAAACACAACCCTGGCCAATCAGCATCTCCTCATAGAGATGAATTGAATCAATGAATCTCTATGAGGAAAGTTCAGTGACTGCATGCAGTGGGAGGAGATACTGAATCACAGGATGCTCGTGCACAGCAGATATTATGCCTCCATCAACTCAGAAGTCCCTCAGGTTCACTCTGAGTGACTGCAACTGGAGGTGTTGCTAGCTTTCAAAGTAAACACTGTATTTTCTCAGAAAATACAGTGTTTACATGAAAAGGGCTGCAGGGAGCTATAGTTCTCACCTGAACAACCTCATTAACCCCTTAAGGACACAGCTTCAGAAGCTTGTCTTACGCTTAAAGGACCACTCTAGGCACCCAGACCACTTCAGCTTAATGAAGTGGTCTGGGTGCCAGGTCCAGCTAGGCTTAACCCATTCTTTTATAAACATAGCAGTTTCAGAGAAACTGCTATGTTCATGAATGGGTTAAGCCTTCCCCCTAATCCTCTAGTGGCTGTCTCATTGACAGCCACTAGAGGCGCTTGCGTGCTTCTCACTGTGATTTTCACAGTGAGAGCACGCAAGCGTCCATAGGAAAGCATTATGAATGCTTTCCTATGTGACCGGCTGAATGCCCCGGGTGCCCCCGGGTGGGGGCACACTCAGGGCACTATAGTGCCAGGAAAACGATTATGTTTTCCTGGCACTATAGTGGTCCTTTAATGACAAGCAATTTGTGCATTTTCTTGCTGTATGCGTTCAACTGCAATTTGCATCTCTCTCGTTTATTGCACCGACACATATTATATACTGTTTTTTTTTTTTTTAAAGGAAAGAAAGGGCTTTAATTTGATGTAATATATATATATATATATATAAATGCTTATTTATTATTAAAAAAAAAATAAAATAAAAAAAAGGAAAAATGCAAAAAAAAAGAAAAGGAAATTGTGTTTTTTGTACAGTTTTTGCAATAATAATAATGTGTGCCTAATTAGTGCAGGTTAAATAAAGTAATTAAAAATAAATTCATTTAGTTGTTCTGATTTACAAAATATATAATGTGTCTGGGATTTTAAGGTTTTTTTGGTAGTTACAGGTCACAAAGCACAAGTAGTAGAAAACTTTTAATGTGGAGCGATTTTAGAATTTGGTATGTTTGTCTTGTAAGCTTAATAGCCATAAAAGAAAAAATTGCCACACAAAAGTATATATTTATATAAAGTAGACATCACAGGCTATTGTCCTAAGGTTGTTTTGACACTTTCTACGTAGCCATTTCACCGCCAATCTCTGCTAAATATTTGAGTAAAATTTTGTTTTGGGGGGTTTTTGGCACACAAACTTATAACAAAGAACTTCTCATGTGTATTTTGTAAAGTTGGTGTGTGCTATTCCTGTACAAAGTTTTATTTTGTGTTCAGTTACTTCTGCTGACTACAACGATACCCCCATTGTATGTCTTTGGCACTATTTCGTGAAGCTACAGTGCCATATAGGAGACCTGTCCGTTTCAACATTTACAGTAGAATTTTGAGAGGCGGTTTTAATGGGCCTATGCTTCAATTTGGGGTATTATAGCAGTTTGACTGTTCAAAAAAAACCAAAAAACACAAAGGCCTACCATTTGTAAAAGTAGACACTCCAGGGTATCTCATATGGTGCATATTGTGCCTTAACATGCCCCCATTTTTTCACCAATATATGCCAAAGTATGTGGTAAAAAATAATTTTGGGCATTTTTTACATACGGATTACATTTTTGCTGGGCATTTTGTACATTTCATATGTGCCACTAAGTTCAAACCCCCAAATTATGCTCAGCTAAGTCTTCTGAGTAAAACAATATGCCCAATGTATGACCTAGACACTATTTTGTGAAGTTACACTGCTGTAAAAGAGACGTGACAAGTTAAGGTTTTTAAGTGTGAATTTTCATGGAGGGTTTTGATGCGTCCGTGTCCCACTTTGGAGCACTTGAGCAGGCTACATATTACAACTACACCATAAAGGCATACCATTTCTTAAAGAACACATCCCAGGGTATTTCAAAAGGCATATTTTGAACGTTAGCGTGGGATAATTTTTCCGCTAGCTTGTACCAAGTGTAGTGGTAATAAGCTTTTTTTGCCTTTTTGACACACAAAGTGAGTTTGCACAGTATATTTTGCAAATCGTATGTGTGCTACGACTGTATAATACTTCATATGTTGCTCAGCTATGTCGGCTGAGTACAGCAATACCCCCGTATGTACCTTTGCTTGGTATATGTGGACATCGGAGGGGCACATTTGGGACACAGCCATTCCAGTTCTTTTCAAACTTTGAATTTTTACGCTGTGTCCATGTTCCATTTTAGAATATTTTACAAGGCTATATAATCCAATTACCCCATAAAGGCATACCATTTCTTAAAGAAGTCATCCCAGGGCAATTCAAAAGGCATATTTTGAACCTTAGCGTGGGATAATTTTTCCGCTAGCTTGTACCAAGTGTAGTGGTAATGAGCATTTTTTAATGTATTTTTTTTGTAATGTATTTTTTACACTTTTACGGTTAACCCCTAACTAGCAGTAAATTCCCCCCTTTCCCATAACTCCCACCCACTCCAACTAGCAAAATATATATATTTATAAAATATTGAAATTAAAGAAATTAGATTACAGTATAATACTGTGATCTGTATTTTGATCACTGTAGGCAGTGATCAACTGGCAGGGAAGGGGTTAATTTTATTTAGACTGGGTAAAGGGGGGTGTTTTTTTTTTAACTTAAACGTTACTAAAACATTTTAAAAAACTTTTTTTTTAACCTTTTTAAAGCTTATTTTAAAACTTTTTTTTTTTTAACGTTAACCCCTAGTTAGCCTAACACCAAATTCCCCACTAACTTCCACCCATCCCAGCTAGCTAAATATATAATTTTTTAATATTTAAATTAATAAAATAAATTTAACCCCTGAGGGTTAAAAAAATAAAAAATAAAATTAACCCTCAGGGGTTAAAATAAAATAAAAATTCAGTTGACATTAAAATGTATACCCTGCCAATTTATCATTGTAGTCATTGATCAATTGGCAGGGAAGGGGTTAATTTTATTAAAGCGGGAGTGGGATTTAACTTTATTTATTTTTTTACACAGAGAGAAGATCAGCAGCACTGATCCGTCTCCCTGCACTTCACACAGAACCCGGAAGTGCAGGCAGGCGGAAGGTAAGTATATACAGCACATGTGCTCGCTCTGACAACCTGTCAGAGTGAGCACCCGTACTGGGGCAGCCTGATCGGGTGCTCCCGGTCTGCCTCTAATACAGAGGCAGACCAGAGCAGTGTTAACCCCGCAATCGCGGCGATCTGGGTTTAACTTTAGTAAATGATGGAAGTTTTCCATCAACGGTCCTTAACTAAAGGACAAGGGTGACGGAAAATTTCCATCCGCGGTCAGGAAGTGGTTAAGCCGAAGTTGTTCAAGTGACTATAGTGTCCCTTTAAGTTTACTTCAGCAATGTCAGGATGTAATGGGCTTTATATTGATTAAAAAAAATGTGGAGATTCACAGAAATGTCCAGATTCTATCACAAAGTGCTTAAATGAGAGGTACAGGATTATAACTATGGAATAATCTTGAAATCTCGGATGATTTTTAAGGCCACTCTAAACCATACTACTGAAACTGTTGGTGTTTCACAGGAATATATACTATTGCTTGGCCTGTTTTACTTCTAGTGATTGAAAGTTGTACACCAAACAGGACAGGTCACAATGCAAAGCAATGAACTTCGAAATGTAGACACTGAAAACTTTCCCAAAGGTGCTACTGCCTATATCAGCTGTCAGGTTAACAGAGGAATTTGAGAGGAGCATATCAAGAGACAGACTGTTCTAGTCTCCAAACCCAGAACTATTTTCTTTAAAGTAGTACCTTGCTTTGCTTTAAATACCTCTTTTGAGCATTTTGTTGCCCTTTAAATCCCACAGAACTACTAAGTAGTTTTTAATATAAAACACATTACCAATCACTGCAAAGCAACAACTCTGAAACCATTTCCAAACTCCAGATTTAAATAAGCAATTGCGTAAGTGCCAAGTGTTCTCATTCTGAGCAGGATCGCAGTCTAACCTGTGCTGCAGTGTATGGGAAGTGTGATCTGGGGCTTCGGCTCCTTCCAAGAACTCCATCTCTTCCACTAGTTTTGTTTGCAGTTTCTCCACCTCTGTCAGCTCATCATGCAGGTTAAGATATTCTTCTAAACTGGTGTCCAATTTAGGAAGTACATTAAGCATTTCATCCTTGTTTTTGAACCAGTTCACCTGGCAAGTAAAAATAAACTGTCAGTTTCTATAGGAAACAAATCTATGCAAAAATAAATAAATAATTATATATATATATATTTATATTATATATATTTATTTATATATATTATAATAACAACAAAGTCTGGCACTCTTTTACAAGTATTCAAGATAAACCTTCTTTGGATGCCAACCTGTATCGAAAGACATCCCCAGAGATGAAGTGAACTTGCCGGAATGAAATAAAGCAGTAATCCAAATAGGTGAATTACATTCAAAATAAAAACGATCAAACATTTCGACCCATTTGGGCCTGTTTCAAGATACACATTTCTATATCCATATACAAAAACACAGGCATGCACTTATTGAGAAGTTAAACTCACAGGCTCACTAGAGTGCCAAGATATGTGATGTGATTCTTCAACAAAAATACTGTTCTCAGAAGTTGCATACTGTTGCACAATGGCATCAGGAAAAAAAATGTAAAACACATTTACTAAAATAGAGCAAGGCCCGTTCCCAATATGCTGTGCGTGCCAACATCAGACTTCCAATATGCACAGAAAAAACATTAGCCACCTGGAACCCTTGTATCAGGTTGCCCAAAACCCCAACGATAGAGCCTGAGGTAGAATTACAGCAAAAACGCTGCACGTTTAGAATCCAAGCACCATGATTTTTTTTTTACCATCACCACATCATATATCATATTTATTATCATAGGCCCACATACACCGAGACTGTGGGTGATACCTCATATGTTCTCCCAGACCCGCACCTTCCTGCTTCTCCCCCAAATCTCGTTTCAAATGAGTAGTATAGGTAAGGTCTCCCCATACTTTTGGATGTGCGGCTTCATGCACGGCCAATTTGACAGCTACCAGACATGAGAAATATCGGATATAGTGCTAGGAAATAGATGTTGCACTTTTTTCTAAAGAGGAATCTTGATAAAGGTGTTTATATCAGAGTTTTCAGTTACAGCAATATCCTGTGCACAAACACGAGGAGGAAACTCCCTATTTTGTAGTATGGGAAAAATTTAAGGAAAGGTGGTCAATATCATATTTCACAGCAACTTTATCCCACAAGCTAATATAATTGAGGACTGCTGGACACTATGTCCTGGGGAGAACTCTGTGTTGGATAACCAAGCATATATAGAATTCTGGCAAAAGCATAAAACCAGATTCTAGGTCTAAATACTACCATATTTTAAAGAGGCTTCTGACCACTGTGCATTTGACACACTATCCCAAGATACCTAGTTTGAACAATCATTTGTTACCTTTATCTCCGCTACTCGTGAAGAAAAGAGGCTCTGAGTGATTTCTCGCTCCATCTCCCGCTTGCTTTGTTTGTTCTCTGCCTGCTGACCACCTCCACCATACACTGCACCAGCAAAACCAGCTTCTCCACCAGCGGTCCAGTCCACAAGGGGATCGTATACAAAGGCCTCAAGCAATGTTAGTAGTGTCTCTCTGCCTCGTCTCATAATGTGCAAAACCTACATAAACCACAAATAATTATAGATGAGCACTATAGCAACTTAATGCCTATTACAACTTGACTTTTTAAAATTATGTATACGATACCTTTGTGTTAAACATTAGGCATTCAAGAATATATACTGATCTACATTACAGTTTAGCACCCACAGAGCCAGAAACTTTCACTAGACCACTTGCCTGTGAGGAGTAAGAGCCAACATTGAGTGGGCTAGTAACTGCTCTACTCGGACTAATATAGCTTGTGTTACTACCTAAGCAAATGTGCTTGCACATACTTACACAAAACGGAACAGGAGACAAGATTTTACAAATGACACTTTAAAAGCAAGTGGGCACTTTACCTGTTCACAAGAAAGACGGAAAACACCCTCCACTCCTGTTACTCCCAGCGCACTCTCAATATTCTGTGTCATTCGGAATGGGACCTTCTCTGGTACCCGGAGACTCTTTCCTGTGTAAATCAACAGCAATTTTATTGAGCAAAAATGAGATTCATATTTTTAAACTTCAACAACAACTAGAACCACCCTTAACTAAGTATTACTCGGTAACATGATTAACTCACCTTTTTCAAAACAGACATTGTAATCGATATGGACGACTTCACCAGTTGTCATGTCAATGAGAACATTATCCAGATGTCTATCTCCAAGGCCAATGATGTAGCCAACCATTGACATCACAGCTGTGGATCTGGCATAGGACTGCAAAGTCAAGTAAATAAGAATTAGCAGCTGTAATGTCATCGTTTGTAAATCAAATTTCTACATTTAGCACTGCATCTAGAACACATTAGCGTAATCTTTGTAAAATTGTGGTTTATATTAGATTTTTAAAAAAAAATCAAAAATTATACTACAGTATTTTAGGAGGAATAAAATGACATAAGTCTTTATCTGCTAGAAAACTATGCCACTGTTGCATTCGAGCACAACAGTATAACAAGTCCGTGTAAGGTCCCACGGGTCTCCGTAAAATTAAATGTGCAATAACATGCAGTTTCCATGGCTGTTGGTAAATAATTTGAAAGCAGAAGCTTATTCTGCTTTATTAGATTTTGCTTGTGTTGGAATTCCAATCAATAATGGTTTTTCAGATCAGAGTAACATTATTAGACTTCACTAATGATTGGAATGACGCCCCCATCCAAATTATTACACATCAGTAAATAAATCCCCCACCAGAAATTACAAATATGAGCAATTCATAAAGATTTTATTTTTATAAAATTCTCAAACTGGACAGAGCATCTCTTATTTTAGCATCACCTAAAAATATTAAATACAAAAATACCCAAACCCCCTCATTAGGAAATCAAGGATGGAAGAACTTTATAAGGCATATTCGAGGTACGGCAAAACAGACCTGTGTAACTCTCCACCATTCGTCAGGTGTTGCACAGGAACACCATAGTTCTTTAGCAAGGAGGTTCGGTGGTGTAGCTTCCATTAGTTCTTCCAGTACTGACTTCATGACGTTAAGAGGCCAATCCCTACGGGACACATCCAAGCTCATACCTACTGCCTTAAGGGCAGGGCTAATTTTGCTGTAATACAGCTCGCTGGGACGTGGGACCATGGCAGGATTTTGGGGAGTCTGATAGGAATCTTGAGCCTGCAAGGAAACATTGGTATATAAAACTCAAAAACTGCATATTTCCCTATAAATGTAATATTTATTGGATAGTAATAATTTCTATTTTAGAAAAATGTTCTGTGAAGAACTGTACTCTTTGAAATAGATTGTGTTTAACAGGGGCAGTGATTACAATATTTTCATATATGGAAGGGTATGGCTCAAATCTGTAAGTCTTTTTGAATTAGGAATGTAGTTTATTTAGCCCCATAATGCTATCTTAGGTTTAGAATATGGAATTCACAAACTATACCTTCTGTGCTTGTAAAGCAGCTTCCCTCTGCTGCCACCGTTTGTAAAGGCCAAAGAGAGGGGTAGCTCCATCAACCCACTGAATGAGCCCAGATCGAGTGCCCAGAGGTGTGACTGAGTAGTGTCTTGCATGAAAATGGGGAGACTCCTGGCAATTAATTGTTGCAAACATGGTGTTTACAATAGAGAGAAATTGCATAATTCTTTCATCGAGATGCAAGTCTTCCAAACCTTTAAGTGAAGAAAAATAAAGTGTTATAGAGTTAATAAAGTCATCACATCCAACACTCGTGTACAGTGAACAAGTTTCTTATCCTTCTAGGGAAAACTACAGATCAAGCACGAAGGCTGCATTAAAACCACAGCAGTCCTGTGGCATGCATATTGTAATAGTTCCTTAATTAAAGGGCCAAAACATCAAAATAATTAGAAAGCTGAAATTAGTAAGTAAGTGGAAAAATAAAGACAGCGAGTTACCTTTAAAGAGATAGGGGTAGTTTTTTCCATCTGAACCCAAAAAGATGAATTTTTTGGGTTTTGTTTTAGTCGGCAGTATTGTTATTGTGCTCCCCACACTGTGAATTGTAATTGTGTCCCTGTCTGACACTTCTCCCGGTAGGGCGATTTCGGTGTTTGTCATTGCAGCAAGGCAGGGACTGATTTCTTCCAATCGTAAGAGGTAACTGGCACGCTTCTGAGCTCTCTGCTGTAAGCTCAGCATAACCTAAACAGCAGCAAAAGTAATAAATTGAGACAACTTCCCAATCAAGAAGAAATACATCTACAGTTGCAAGAAAAAGTATGTGAACCCTTTGGAATGATATGGATTTCTGCACAAATTGCTCATAAAATCTAATCTGATCATCATCTAAGTCACAACAATAGACAATCACAGTCTGCTTAAACTAATAACACACAAAGAATGAAATGTTGCCATGTTTTTATTGAACACACCATGTAACCATTCACAGTGCAGGTGGACAAAGTATGTGAACCCCTAGACTAATGACATCTCCAAGAGCTAATTGGAGTGAGATGTCAGCCAACTGGAGTCCAATCAATGAGATGAGATTGGAGGTGTTGGTTACAGCTGCCCTGCCCTATTAAAAAAAAAAAAAAACACACCAGTTCTGGGTTTGCTTTTCACAAGAAGCACTGCCTGATGTGAATGATGCCTCGCACAAAAGAGCTCTCAGAAGACCTACGATTAAGAATTGTTGACTTGCATAAAGCTGGAAAGGGTTATAAAAGTATCTCCAAAAGCCTTGCTGTTCATCAATCCACGGTAAGACAAATTGTTTATAAATGGAGAAAGTGCAGCACTGCTGCTACTCTCCCTAGAAGTGGCCGTCCTGTAAAGATGACTAAGAGCACAGCGCAGACTGCTCAATGAGGTAAAGAAGAATCCTAGAGTGTCAGCTAAAGACTTACAAAAGTCACTGACAAATGCTAACATCCCTGTTAGCGAATCTACAATACGTAAAACACTAAACAAGAATGGATTTCATGGGAGGATACCACAGAGGAAGCCACTGCTGTCCAAACAAAACGTTGCTGCACTTTACAGTTTGCACAAGAGCACCTGGATGTTCCACAGCAGTACTGGCAAAATATTCTGTGGACAGATTAAACCAAAGTTGAGTTGTTTGGAAGAAACACACAACACTATGTGTGGTGAAAAAAAGGCAAAGCACACCAACATCAAAACCTCATCCCAACTGTGAAGTATGGTGGTGGGGGCATCATGGTTTGGGGCTTCTTTGCTGCGTCAGGGCCTGGACGGATTGCTATCATCGAAGGAAAAATGAATTCCCAAGTTTATCAAGACATTTTGCAGGAGAACTTAAGGCCATCTGTCTACCAGCTGAAGCTCAACAGAAAATGGGTGTTGCAACAGGACAATGACCTAAAGCATAGAAGTAAATCAACAACAGAATGGCTTAAACAGAAAAAAATACACCTTCTGAAGTGGCCCAGTCAGAGTCCTGACCTCAACCCGATTGAGATGCTGTGGCATGACCTCAAGAAAGCGATTCACACCAGACATCCCAAGAATATTGCTGAACTGAAACAGTTCTGTAAAGAGGAATGGTCAAGAATTACTCCTGACCATTGTGCTCGTCTGATCTGCAACTACAGGAAACATTTGGTTTAAGTTATTGCTGCCATAGGAGGTTCAACCAGTTATAAATCCAAGGGTTCACATACTTTTTCCACCTGCACTGTGAATGTTTACATGTTGTGTTCAATAAAAACATGGCAACATTTAATTCTTTGTGTGTTATTAGTTTAAGCAGACTGTGATTGTCTATTGTTGTGACTTAGATGATGATCAGATCACATTTTATGACCAATTTGTGCAGAAATCCATATCATTCCAAAGGGTTCACATACTTTTTCTTGCAACTGTATTTCTTGGTTTATTAAGGGACCACTAAAGTCACCCAGTGAACCTCATCTCAATGTCCTGTATGTTTAAACTTTAAAGGTAAAATATTGCAATTGTGCAGAAAGGGCAATGCGTAAACAAGAGGTATACGGACAGCCACTAAAGGTGCTTCTGCTGCACTGACAGAATAAAACTGTCCTGTGATGAGAAAGCTCACAGGAAAGGACTGGCACTTCCCGAGCATATTCACCAGGTCCCCAGATGCTCCTCTAGGAGGGCATTGGACTGGATTTTTGCTAGATGACATCAAGCCTCCTCAATGACACTGCAGGAAACAGAGGTGAGCAGCACCAAAGGGGTCTGGGCATTGGAAAAAGGGGAGCAAAAGGTTTGTATCCCTAACACTATAGCGTTCCTTTAAGCATAGATACAGTATAGTCCTCAAATATTCATGCAATGACAAATTTTGTTTTGGTTCTGCACATCACATGGAACATGAAATGAAATTATGATTAACCACTGTAACTGGACATTTGCCTGTTAGGCTGTTTGGGATGTTTCTAGTGTGGAGTTAATAGTAACAAAACATCTAAAGGGCATTCTTGGTAAGGGGTTTAGAAGTTAGCTAAGGTTGCCTCAACAAGAGGAGCAAAAGGTCAATGTCAGTGAAGTAGGCCATCAAGAGCATTCAATAAACAGTGTGATTCAATTCATCATTCAATAAACTGTGAATTTAGTGAACTGAAAACAAAATTGCACATTTTAGACCAAAAGAGGAGCACTGGGAAAAATCTCCAGTTCACTTACTGACAAAAAACAAAAGCTAACAGGGAAACCTCCTGAAACAACATAAATCAAAGATAGCTGTAGTACATGCATGATAGGGTATCAACAAAGGAAGACAACAAAACACTAATTACAGTAACTTTGTTGAATTTGTCCAAATACTTTCGTAACCTAAATGGAGAGACTAAATACTGTACAAAAAAGGACTGGGATTCCCACAGTATTTAGTTTGTCAAAAGTAATACCCTCAAATTAAAACGGACAGTCTGCTCTACATCCAGAATATTTTTACATCAAAAGCTCTAATTCTAATGGAATGCATTCTATTAGTACAGATAATGTTAGCTGCACAAATGCTAGTCACATGAAAAAAAGCAGACCTAAGGCAAGGTTTCTGCACTATGCCCACAATTCAAATGTCAGAGCATTTACTCCAACAGAATAAGAATTGAAAAGGATTATCACAAATGTACACATACCTGCTTGAAAGGCAACCAGCTATTTCCCGGATTTGCAGGATTTGAGGGATTTCTGAGTTTTTCTAAGGCATTTTCAATTGCCTCTCCATAGGTGTCTTGGAACCATTTTTCATGGGGAGTCTCTGCTGGAGCTGAAGTAATGCTACAAACATGCTCCAAGGCAAATACAATGGGCTTCAACAGTGCAGTGTGCTTTTCACGCATAATTGCAATCTTCTCCTCTCTAATTAGGAAAAAGATAAACAATAGCAAAACCCTTATTACTATTTACTGATATAGAGTCAACACTTTCTTCTGGAAAGTTGAATACATTTGTTCACTGTGCAAGAACTGGTGACATTTTTAGTTTTTATACCAGCTAGATGCACCATTACTACGCACGTTTCTCATTTTTGGACGACATGATAAAGACACAAGAGAGTGTCCCACTTATATTTACGCACGAATGCAGCCAATGCTTTGGTCAGTTGTGAAAATGTACTTATGTGCTTCAATTCCCAAACAAACAAATCACATACTTGCGAAGGGTGTTGTTGTTCTGCACTCTCTTCACTTCATCCTCCAGTTGCTGTATGCGTCTCAGAACGTACATATGTTGCTGCAGCAGGACTCCAAGCCAGAGCTCGTCCCATAGAACAGTAACCCTTCGCAACTCAGCAACCAACATTTGCACCTATAAGAAACAGAATAAATAGTGAGAAAGTTTGAATGAAGACGCAGCTCTGATGCATTCACAACTCCTCAAAACAGCGACAGTAGTAAAGAAGGCTACTCATAAATGGTCACTAAACACAGACCTGTAACACCATTGTTGGGTTGGCAGAGGATAACTTGTCCACAATCTTGCTGTAACAATCCTGCATCATGGCTTGGTCCTCATTCAGACCATTCTTTAGTTCATCCCGATTGCTTTCTTGTGAAGCTGGTGGACTCTCATCCCCACATTCAGCACCCATCAGCTCCTCATCCTGTATATTACGAAGTAAAGTGGGGATAGCCGAAGAAAGCTTGGTTCCTGTGTTACAAACATGTAAAATGTTAAACTTGACATTATAAGCAAATTAAAAGCAATTTAATTCACAATTCTTCTAGTTGACATTACGTAAATGTGCATACTTTGAAATGTTAAATATTTACACGTAAGATCTGTAACTAGCATCTTTTTATTTTAATTGCTCCAGAAAGTGTAGCTTTCAATCATATAAGGTTTTTTCTAGACATTGACTAAGATTTTCACACCAGCTGTATTTTGAATGAAAGACCTATCACCCAATAATATTATGCACAATTTTCATTTTTTGACTTGCCACCTGCAGAACATGTAATCAGATTTATTTGAAATGAAATATTTCCCTGCACTACTAGCACATTTCTTGATTTCACCCATTACATGAGTAAAATGAAGACATTATTTCATCAATCTAAGAAACCTTGATTGACATGGAAGCACACTTAGGATCTGCAAGCACAATAACCGTTTAAAAACAAAAAACAAAATCAAAGAAAAAAAAAAAGTTACCTTCTATCTCAGGTTTTTTTTTTTGTTATTTTATTATTGTCTTGATAATAGTTCACTTTCATTTCTCGATTTGTATTAATTTGTTCACATTCTATTTCATTGATTTTTTATATTTATTTTTTTTTAATTCGTTTAGTTGTGTTATAGTTTTGCTAGTTAGCAATTTATTTTTGGATAATTTATAATATTCTATATATAGTTCTTCCCTCAAGGCGCCTTTTTGTTTATTTATTCTATTCTTAAAGGGACACAATAGTCACCAGAACAACTACAGCTTAACCCCTTAAGGACGGAGCCAAACAAAACAAAATGTAAACAAAACAAAATGTAAACAAAACCTGGCATTTGCGCTACATGTCTGTCCAACTGTAATTCACCTCTTTCATATTAAATACACCCACCCTTATTATATATTATTTTATTCAGGGGAAACAGGGCTTTCATTTAATATCAAATATTTAGCTATGAAACAATTTAATATGAAAAAAATGGGAGAAAAGATTTTATGGCGTTTTGGGAAGTTACAGGGTCAAATATAGCAAGTTACATTTGAAATTGAAATTTGCCAGATTGGTTACGTTGCCTTTGGGACTTTATAGTAGCCCAGGAAAGAAATTTACACCCATAATGGCATATCATTTGCAATAGTAGACAACCCAAGGTATTGCAAATGGGGTATGTCCAGTCTTTTTTTAGTAGCCATTTGGTCACAAACACTGGCCAAAGTTAGCGTTAGTATTTGTTTCTGTGTGAAAAATGCAAAAAAACGCCAATTTTGGCCAGAGTTTGTGACTAAGTGGCTACTAAAAAAAAAGACTGGACATACCCAGTTTGCAATACCTTGGGTTGTCTACTATTGCAAGTGGTATGCCATCATAGGGGTAATTGTCATTCTTGGGCTACCATAGGGTCTCAAGGGCAACGTAACCAATCTGGCGAATTTTAATGTGAAAAAAATTAAACAAGTCTTATATTTGATGCTGTAACTTTTGAAAACACCATAAAACCTGTACATGAGGGGTACTGTTGTACTCTGAAGACTTCGCTGAACAAAAATAATTGTGTTTCAAAACAGTAAAAAGTATCGCAGCAATAATATCGTCCGTGTAAGTGCTGTTTGTGCGTGAAAAAACTTCACTTTTACTGGTTATATCATCGTTGTAATACATTTTACTGTTTTGAAACACTAATATTTGTGTTCAGCGAAGTCTCCCGAGTAGAACAGTACCCCCCATGTTCAGGTTTTATCGTGTCTTGGAAAGTTATAGGGTTAAATATAGTGCTAGCAAATTAAATTCCCTTTACTCTCGGCATGGGTTGTCAGGCAGGTCCCACTAATTGTAATTAATTAAGATACCTAATTATGTAAAAATATTACATAAATAAATATATATATATATATAATTTTTAAAATATTTTTATTTATATATAGGTATATATAGTGATATATACGTATATATTTATGTATATAGATATATATTACGTCGTTCTACGTGTATTTTGATATAAATATATATTAATATCACAATACAGTTAGAATGAAATAACACATCTATATATTTAATTTTATTTTTTAACGTAGTTACATATTTAATTTTTTTATATTATATATAAATATATATAACAATAATTATATATATATAAAATCAGTGTACGTGTAATTTGAGATATATATTTAATTATATATATTAATAGTAAAATACACATATATATACACATATATATATATACACATATATATATATACACACATATATATATATATATATATATATATATATATATATATATATATATATATATATATATATATATATATATATTTATTTTATTTTATTTTTTTTTATTTATTTTTTTTTTTTTTTACACACTTTTTAAAATTGTATTTATTTTATTTCCAGCCAGCAGGGGGACCACCAGTCCCCCTGCTGGCAATGCAGGAGGCAGCTATCCCGGCCATGTGATTGTGAAGTCCTCTCAAAGACCTCACTCTCACATGGCCGGGGGGGCTGCCAGGAGGTCGGACGTGCCGCGGGGGCTCCCTGGGAGTCCCCCCAACCGCGATCGCCGGCGACCAGGTAAGTAAAGAAAGACCGGAGGGCGTATTATTACCCCCGGCGGCGTTTAGAGCCACCTAAAATAGGGCGTAATAGTACGCCCTCCGGTCTTAAGGGGTTAAGAAGTGTTCCCCTTTAGACTTTTTCATGTAAACACTGCCTTTTCAGAGAAAAGCCATTTTGATGATGCCACAAAGGGGGTGTTCCTGACCCTACAGTGTTGCTTTAAGTTTTATCAAGTATCCTCTCACAACAACTTTGAAGGCGCACCAAATCTGCTCAGCCCCCTTTTTACACAGGTAGAATGCATTATGTATGAGTAAATGTCAAGTATTTGTACGTAAATGTTATATGTATTTTTACTTCTTTTTGTGTGACAAAAATGCAAATAAAAAATATCTAAATCTAAAATGTAATCAACATTAAAAATGACAACCCCTTGTCTTGGGTGGCCATTTTAATATTCAATTAAACAGTTTCCCCCCCCCAAACTGTTAAGACTACCATCTGACAATAGTCAAATATGGTGTTTATACAACGGTTTAAACAATAAAAATCACAGATAATCATTGGAAAACTAGTTTTTAGAAATACAAACAATTACTGGATTGTACACCATATACAAATGTTACATTTACACTGTTCACAGGGCTATGCCTAATGTGAAAACGTAGCAAAAGGCTCAAAAAAGTCAATCTAACATTCTCAATATGAGCAAAGAAGATCCACTAAAAATGTGAATCCTCACGGGACCATCTAACGAAACCTACCAAAGGGGGTAACCCTTGCTAATGACAATACACTCAAAGTACAAAAAAAGGTTTTCCCCAAAATGGACCACCACTAGTGGTGTTCCTTCCATGGAGGAAGGGGGAAGTTTTATAATTTAAGAGCACAATCCAATATTACGGTTTTGCATGGTGAAGGTTTAGCACACTCAGAATTTAACGGTTACATAACCCTGCTGCTTGGACTTCTTTACAAGATAGGATAAGTGGATTCCATATTAAAGCAGGTATCAGAACATGAAACATCAAAACAATAAGGCATGCAAAAAAAACCTTTAAAAATCAAGTTACTGATTTGGAGATAAGATAGAAGGTCACATTGTGAGCTTGGTTATTTTTGCCAAATGACAGGTTACTACTAACCTGAAGACTGAGATTCATTGCTAAGTGAGATGCTACCAACTATAGCAGGGTACAAGATGAGATGTGGTGAATCGTGGGCCACACGACACAATAAATTGCAGATGCTCTGCCGAACATAGACTTCAGGGTGATTGAGACGAGAGAAGAGTTGAGGAATTATACCTAGAGTTTAAAAAAAATGAAAGGAAGAAGAGCTTACTGGGCTTAAATATTGTACCAACAAATCACTGACAGCACAATAAATGAACAAATAAACCTCCCTGTAACAAATATTTAGAAACCGCAAGGTTCCAAGTAAGAAGCCAGATGAATGTAAATGGCTTACCCCTCCAGGGAGCAGTGGGTGTTGTCTCCAGACCTTGTTCCAGGTACTGTCTAAGTTCCCCAGCATGTTTGACAAGCAGCCTTAGTAAACGTAATGTTGCCATCACAATGACATCATCAGAACTCTGTTTGGAAGGGCTATTAAGATGCTGGCGAGGATCGTCTTCATCAAGAGAAACCTATACAAAAATGTTTTAAATACAAAGTGTTTTACCACAGTGCTTAATGTTTGCCAATAAATCCCAACGCATAGCCTAAAAGTTTAATTCATTTTCAGAACAGGTTTTCGTGCTGAATGAGAGGTGTGAATATAATGGACACTGCCTTGGTTATCTTCTTGTGGCTGCAGGTGTTGGCACTCTTGAAATCTTTAAAACTAGCTGTTTTTGAACTTAAAATTGCTTTGACTGAGCCACAGCTTACAGAATTGACAGTCTAAGACCCTTACCTTCGTTTAATTAACTCTAAACAAAGTTCATAGATACAGTCACAATCTCTAATTACATACCCGCCCGGCATTCAGTTTTAAGAAGGTGAAGTATGCACTGCAGGATAATTTGTACAGACTGAAGATTCGGTCTACGACTTTCCTCCACACTTTGATGAGACCATCTGATGCAGCCTCGTTCATATCTGCCAGCCTCGGGCAGCTTGACAATAGCTGCCTCCAAATCACATCTACAGTGTTGTTTTCATCATTATCCTCATTTTCAGTGATTTGAAGAGACAAGTCTTCATCCTATGAAAATAAACGCAGAGTGAATTTCAATAAAGATTTTAGAAAAAGCAAAAACACAGAACAAACTTTTCAGCATAAAAAAAAAAAAAAAAATCTTCCATCAAGTTCAGTCTCGCTCATATCTGTTTTTGCTGGTGATTCAATTTGCTGCTGATCTAAATATTCCCAGAGCATTAGACAGCATGTCACATTCATGTATTAGAAAACTACAATCCCAAATTTCATTAACTTGTACAAGTGCTAAATGTAGAGCGGCCTGAGAATGTCAGCAATAGTAATGCCAAGACTTAAATATATTCCTCGCATGAAACCTACCAAAGGCAATTAAACATTTCTTGCAGCATCCCTAATCAAAGCTCAACTAGGCCAGGCCTAAAATTTAGTCAACACGATAAAAATGATGCATATCTACTTTATTGTGCGGTTGATTTACATGTTTGTATTGAGCAGACTAATCCTGCTGACTGTTATTCAATATATGAAGCTCACTCCAAGTGTCCTTTGTCTTCTATCACACAGTGTCACTAGACTTCTACAATATCTTGAGCGGACAGCCACTGTTTTTCAACATCTTTCTTTCTCCCTCCCCAATATTACTAGCAGCATATAACTCCACAGTGTCACAACTAAACTAGCTACTAACAGTTTAGTGAGAAAAGTGCAGAGGCAGGGTTAGATATGAAAGCAAATATGGCTGTAATATGTTAAACAAAATGTGGGTGCCAAGATTTTGACAGAAAATTATTAATGGTCAGATAGTGTATATTATAGGGGGATATACAAAGGGTTCAAAACATTTTAGTGCGCAAGTAAAAATTTAAATAAGGAAAACAGGGGAGCAGTACATCTAATCTACTCATTAACGCTTCTCTGCCAGTAATTTATAAACTAGGCACTGTTTGTAATTCACTCACATTTGGTATTAAGTGAATAAACTCAAAGTTTCAAAATGTTTAAGTATCCCTAAAAGTCTATGCACAGTCATCCCCTTGGACACGCTTCCTAGTCTCACACCCAGTCCTTAACTGGCTGTTTACATTTTCAGCCATTGAAATGTATTTGTTTTGGCAGGACTTAACGGTCATGTTTTTGTTCACTTGTGGAAGCTTGAACAAGAATGAGTTTGCCAGCTACTTGGCTTGCAGACCATGAGTTTGACTAGCTTGCACATGTTATTAGACTGTAGAACCTTTATACAAAATAATGGAAAATATTGAACAAACCTGAATGCCAGCTGGTCGACACATGGCTTGCCCAAGAATACCATATATTTTTTCTTTGTCTTCTTCAGAAACGTTGTCAGGCAGAAGCTCTTGTACTTCAGATTTTTCTCTTGGCAATAATTTCACTCCTTCCCCTTGGCTGATCAAAAATAAACATTTTTCATCAGTCAACTGCTTTATGTCCAAACTGAATTGCTATTAAGTGATTTTTGTCATTCTATCAAAAGTAAAACGCATTGCCATGACAGAATTATTTTTATTATTCGAGTCATAACATATCAAGGTTGTGAAAAGGAAACAGAGGTGCAAAGTGTTGATAATCATCCAAGTGTAGAAAAGTGTGCATCTCCAGTGGGAATGGAAGATTTCAAAAGAGCGAATGTGGAATATCCAAAACCAATATGCTTACCTGGCATTGTCTACCACCTTCCTTCCCCATCTGTACGCCCAGCTGGCCAATGCTGCCCAGGACTTGGCAACATCAGGAGCTTGGACAGAGGATAAGTGATATAGTTGCCCCAGAACAAAATCAGGTTCTCCCACACCGATACTCACTAATACACCAAACAAAAGAAATATAGATTAACAGTCATATTAAATGTAAAACACAGGAGCAAGGCAAAGGTGAATATACACATGGCTATAGTTGAGGTAGGTGGCCCACTACAAGTCTATTCATAGCCTGCTGATCAGTGGTCAAATGGAAGGCATTAAGTCATTCAAATACTAACCTAGTTTAGGCAAAAATACATACTGCTTCGGGGACCAAAAATATATTTTCTTAGTTTGAGGAAAGTCCCTTTGACACAAACCATGCCATGTAAGTTTAATTGTGCTTTAAACAAATGACATAGAACATCTAATCTTTATTCCCTTGGTACTAACTTTAATGAGAAGTGCACATAACATTTGATCCAAAAATGTTCAGACGAAAAATGACCCAAGTTAAAAAAAAAAATAAAAAAAATAAAAAAAAATATGCTGTTGCAGTTTTAAAGGCTGACTTAGTATTCTGGTGTACTTTCAAAGTATTTTAGAATTGCATTAGCTATATTTTAATCTTAGTACTAATCTTTTGTTTCTCTAAATTCTATGGATAACAAATCCCTTAGAAATGGACCTCTGTTTCTCATTTTCATTATCCCTTCCACCAATTCCCATTTATATTAAAGAATGAGAATAAACTTCAAAGACACAGGTGTTATAATTAAATACAATTGCCTAATAATCCTTACACATTTAATGGATCAGTGGAAATCTTAAAAATGTTGATAATGTGATTTTGGGTCAAATCTTAAAATATCGCCTAAACCCAGCTGGAGCTGACTCTACCTCGTCTAAAGCATTGCTATATAGCGAGATGATGCCCAATTCCTACAACTGTCATATGTTAGAGCTGCTGGAAGTTGACAGTGAAGCTCCACCTTTGTCAACGCCAGGCTCACCCTAAGACAAAGGAGTTCTTCATTCTAGCGCTGTCAATAAGAGTATTCCGTAGAGATTATATGAATATGAAATACTCAGAAATAACAAAACTGCTTTTACACATGAAAAAACATGAAACATTTGCACCAGCTAATGAAAAAAATTGCATGCCTGTACATTTTTTTGGTTTTCAAAATAGCCAGTCATGTGCTTTTTAATTCAAGAATAAAAAAACCCACCAAATTTCAAAATTTTCACGCTGCCTTAATAAGGATGAAAATTCAAGCACAATTTAAGTAAATTACCGAAGATGTGTAATTACCTGTAGATTCACTTTCGATTCGTGGATATTCCTCTTCCATGATATTCACAGGTGGCAAATCAATCAGTGTGTGTACATTTTTAGCCAGAGTGGAGAGGCCAGTGACATTTGGCTGCTGGCGTGCTCTGTACACCTGCTTCATCTGCCCAGAAATTTCTTTCCAGTCTGCTTGAATCCATTTCGCAAGAGTAAGGATAGATTTTGCCACGGCATATTCTGCTTTCGCTGATTTACAGAAGGAAATGGCACAGGAACTTAGCATCTCCATGGCATGAGTAGACTGGCCTGGTGAGGAGAAACAAGTGTATAAAACACAATAAAGTACACCTCCAACTTCCCTCCCAAGTCATCAAAGCATGTTAAACTGTGCAAGATGTTTAAGTGTTAATGTGCAATAAAATATACATATAGTCTACAAGTCTGGATGTAATAAAAAAACATAAAACAAAAACAAACAAAAACTGGATGCTTTGACAACACCACAAGAATGTCTGGCAGATTGAACAGAACAGCACAAACAGGCATATATAACTATTAGCGTAACACTTCAGTCAACATGACCACTGTAGCAGTTATGGTGCCAGTAGCACACTGGTACCACCCCCATTTATGAAGTCAAACCAAAACTTATCTGGGGTCTGCAGGGGCATTTTTTGTTCTTGGTGTTTTCATTATAAACCTTTGTGTGTAACAATTATACACAGTATGCATATATAGGATTGCTGTTATAGGAAAGTAGATCAGATTTAGACCTCTGGAGCAGCAATGTCCAATGCTTATCCTTAACCTCTCAATTTTTCCCATTGCGACTTCATGAGCATTACGGGAAACTTAACATTCAGCAAGTTAGTCATCACTGCTCCAGGAGTGTGCCCAACATACTGCAATACTATAGCACTCAAATAAGAGTACCTAGGGATGCACCAAAATGAAAATTCAGGGCCGAAACCGAAAATTCAGGATGCCCTTGGCCGAAAATGACTTTTTCCCCAAATTATTTAAAAAAAAGTTTTCCTCCCCTGTAAATTTTTATTAATATTAGACTTTTTAATGAATTGAATTAATCTAATATGAAAAACTTCCCTTGTCCCTTAGTGGTCCCCCCCCACCCCTACTTAATGTCCTCTTCCATGACATCCCCCCTCCCCCGTCCTAGTGTTCTCCCCCGTCCCCAAGTGCAGTATTCTTGATTTTTCATGTTATCATTACTATCTTTCATTGTGATATATAATCATCTGAATTGTTAATGCAAGCATGTATGTTAAACTATGCACTACAAAAAAAATAAAAAATTATAAAACATTTTTTTTTTTTTACATTTCGGCAAATTTGACCAGTTTTATTAGTGTGCATAATATCTCTCTATATCTCTCTTGATAGACAGATAAAGATATAGATACACACAGACAGACATTGCAAACTGTGGGAAATGGTGTGACAAAAATTTATATTTTCAAACAATCATTGTAGAAGCTTTCTGCTTGCAATGTAAGTTGGCCAAAAACGCTTATCCGGAGTATATACTCACCTGCTACATAGAGCATTTTAGCCTTTTCAATGTCAAGTTCAGGACCCCACTTCTCATCCATTTGTCCCTGGATAGAAAGCTTTTTGAAATGATTGACTAAGTCTTGGGCAGTTGTAACATGCACAAGCTGGCTGTCACTACACTGGGCTAACAACCTTGTGGCCAGAGTGATATTCCCACGTTTGCGAGAACATTTTGCTGCTGTTAGTCCCATCTCCATCAGATGACATTTTACTGATAAGGTCTGATCTATGGACAAGAAAAAAAAAAAAAAAAGTTAGGTGTATCCAGAAATATAATTCCCATATTTGTACAGAATTTATAAGCTCATTATCAGTAACAAAAAGAGACTTGATATGCCCAGTGTAAAATCTTACACAATTATATAATTGCAAGGTTCAATGGGCCAATAATAGAAGCCCCACAATCATACAGTTATATTTTTAATTATACAAAGAAATGTCTCCTAAAGGAAAAATAAACCCCTTACCCAAACTAAAACTAAAACTCAGCACTAATGTACCTAAAAATAAAATAAAAAAATAAAATAAATTAAACCCAAAGCAATCTGCTACATAATGAATGTTGTTACCAGGCTATGAGAGTTCATATGATCTTATGATAGGGACACCAGAAGGTATCTATCTATGGATTTTAACCAATAAGGCTTTTAGTGTACTTGTTATGCAAATAATAAAGCCACAAAAAAGGATTTGATCTTGAGACATTTTGCCTAAATTGTTATGCCACTGTTGCTTCTGTACTAACATTTTAACAGTGTGTGTTTTTTTACTACATTCTCTCAAGAAGACGTTTTTAAGAGTTCAGCTCCAGAAAATACTGTCGCTTTAAGGCTCAAGCATACAGGAAATAGGAGATAAAAATAGTTAGGCTATACCTTGGATTTTATCAGTGAGCTGGTTTTGAAAGGTGGTGTATCTGAGGGCATTTATCCATGGCCTCACATCATTCTGTTTGCATGAACGTAAGGCTTCACTGAATAGAGGTATCAGACAATCCTGGCAGAAAAAAAAAAATAAACTTAATACTGCAAATAAGTTTTCTGAACCACGATATAGTAAGGATGATGTGCATATAGAGGTATTTGTATATTTTACATATATACAGGCAAAAACTCACTTGTTAAGACTAGGAGACAAACCTGTAAAGTCAAAGCGGCTCGGTCACCTTGCTAAGAGTGCAGAAGTGAGTTACACTTACTTGGCTTCATCAGTGCTGTAGTCTTGCACATGAGTAAAAAACTGAGGTCTATTGAGGATCCTATAAGATCAGGTCTCGTAATGAGTGATAAAATGCATGAATAGGACAAGATTTGGATAAACTAATCAGTACTATGTCTTACAATATCTTTTCAATATTCTTTGGATAGGTCATTATCAGTAGCAAACTTTAACAAATAAAAAGGCAAAATAAATAAATACATTTACACCGTGGGGCTACCGAAGACACGGTACAATACGGGAGGATTGGTTTTCTATTTTTGTAATGAGAAATCAGTGAGCAGATGCATTTCAGGTAACATCAAAATATATGGAATGACAATGAAGTATGTAACATACAAGGGTACAGGCACATTTAGTGTGGTTTGGAAATTCATAAATCCATTCATTTATATGCTACATGTACATTTTTTTTTTTAAACTTCCTTTCATACATTTTTTAATAGATCCCACAGGTAGATGCCTGAAATCAAATTCAGATGCTCATGTACCTCGGATGAAAGTTTAGTTGACACTGTACTCTCTAAAGCGGAGGAGCAGTATAGTTGTAATGTTCCCAACAAAGGCAGGGACTGAGACACAGCCAGTGTAGAAAGTCTTAGGGGTCCCATCGCAATCCGTGCAGTTTGCTTCAGGTATTTAGAAAGATTTCTGACAAAAAAAAAAAAAAAACAATCAAAAAAAAGAAAGTGCAAATCCACCAAACTGACCTCTTGGCACTTCCCAAACATATTCATATTCGTGCCCTTAAATGTTAGGTATGTTTTCAAAAACAAATAAGCCGACAGACGTGATTTAAAACTATATCCATAGTTAAGTCATCTGCGATAATAGTGTGAATACAAAGTAGTACATCATGCTATTAAGTGAATATTTAGCCCACTTATATTTATAAATGGCTTCCAGAGAATACCACCATGTTCTGTATTATGAGTAAGAAACTCAAAACTTTTTTCTGTAACACTGGAAGGAGATTAGCAATATTTCACCATTATTCATCACCCTGTTTGGATAAACACAGCGCATCCTTCTTAGACACCCATGAGTGCTAGGAGGAGCACTGTGATATTTGATTTGGAGAAGCCATTAAAGGAAATTAAAGTGATGGGCACGCTAGGAGGAGAGGCCAAGATTACATTGTGACTGAGATAAAATGGTGTTCTATAAAGTCGTTGCCACCCGGGATTATTGGAGATTTAGCATAGAACTAGCCAAAGTGTTCAAAATCAGTACATTGTTTAAAAAAAATGAATCTACTGCTTACTCAACAATGGGCTGCCACTTCTGTTCTTGTTCCTCTTCTGTTACAGCAGAGCTGAAGCACACTGAACTTCTCAGGAGTTGGACTTCAATACATTTTTGTAGCTCTCTTGGGTCTGGGCTGAGCAGACAGGGAAGAAGCTTCTTCATGTCTAAAAGACAAAGGAGGGAACATCAAAGGTAAATGTGCAAAAAGGCCATACTGATGTTGTGGGGTACAACTTTCATTTTTAGTTGAACACAATTCATGGTCTAGGAAATAAACCCCACCATCAAATTACAGAATTTCACCTGAACTACTTTCTTTACACAAGAAAATTGCTTGTAACAGCTGTGAAGCAGTTTTGGTTAAAGCAAAATCAGATATATTCCAATTTGAAGACAATGTCTGAGACAAAGTATTTCTGTTGGATTGAAATATCGTTCACAACATTTTTTTGCTTGTCTGCTTGTGAATGCTATTGCTACCACTATGCTTTAATCAGTCAGTCTTTTTCTTTCAGGGAGGAATCATATTAAGTCTATTGTGTTTCTTTTTTGCATTTCATGAAAGACATGCCCCTGGCTTTACTGCAAAATATGGATGCTTGTCTTGTATGATACAACCATATTTTACCTTATAGCTGGCCAATATTTAATATCATCTTACCTATTTTTTCCTTTGATCCCACAGACAGCAGATTCAGATTTTCTCCAGGGAGCAGCTCTAGTTGTCCTGTACATTCCAGGAACTCTCCAGAATCAAATGTGGTTAGAGCTCTATTAGAGGACATGATTTAAGAATAAAATTAGACTTAAAGCAGTGTACTATATAGGGAAAAAAGCAAATGCATTTAAAACCAAAGAGTTTTGACAAGACCAAGCAACATGTGGATAACGAAACAATGAAAAAGAACACACATAAGTCCAAACACTTTCCTGGACATTGTATCATTGAATTAAACATTGACATTTTGCACATTACTCTGTTAACCTTCATGTGATGCTCAACTTTCTTTTAAATGTATATTAAGTTTTAAATATGTATGTCACAAATTCACATTTTATCAGCACACACTTTGCAGTGGAGAAAACTTGCACTGCAGGTCCCCTCTCCCTCCCACCCCCCATCCAAAGTTGCTGAAGTGGTTAAAACACCATCAGTGACTTACCTGTCTCCAGCGCCAATGTCCCTTTGGCGCTGGTTCAGGGTCCGCCCACGCTCCTCCCCCGCTGTCATCCGGCGGGGGAGAATTACTGCACATGCGCGGCCGCTGGCAGGGGAGACCTAATGCGCATGCCGCGCACTAGACCTCCCCATAGGGGAGCATTGGAAATTGCTTTCAATGCTTTCCTATGGGGAATCTAGCGACGCTGGAGGTCCTCGCATAGCGTGAGGACCTCCAGCGACGCTATAGCACACGGAATGTGTGTTATAATACCGGAAGTGCTCTCTAGTGGCTGTCTAGTAGACAGCCACTAGAGTAGGAGTTAAAACTGCAGTTTATAAAAAACTGCAATAATTACACTTGCAGGGTTAAGGGTAGTGGGAGTTGGCACCCAGACCACTCCAATGGGCAGAAGTGTCCCTTTAATCACAGGAAAAGGTAGAGCCTAAAACAATGATTTACTGGTAGTTAAGATGAAGCCCCACCTTTCCAGGATGTGAATTTCTAGACTTCATTTTATTTTTCACACTTCACAGAACACCTATTTGTTAACTTCACAGAACAACTACAGCTTATTGCATTTGTTCTGGTGAGTAGAATCATACCCATGAGGCCTTTTGATGTAAACACTGTATTTTCAGAGCAAATGTAGTGTTTACATTACAGCCTAGTGATCACTCCACTGGCCACTCCTCATGGCTGCAAAAGGTGCTTCCTGGTGCAGTGCTGCACAGTGAGCAGCACTGCCATTTAGTATATCCACCCTTTGCACTGACACTGAAATTTCCTTACAGAGATGCATGGATTCAATAAATCTCTATGAGGGGTTTCTGACTGGCCAGGGCTGTGTTTGACTTGTGTGGTCTCTGCCCCTGACTTGCCTCTTTGACAGGATCGGCCAATCCTATGGAGAAGCATTGTGATTGGCTCAGAGCACCAATTCTGATGATGTAAGCGGACAGCAGGCAGGTCAGAGGCAGACAGTGACAGGGGCAGAGCCATCAGCTACAGACTTGAATACAAGTAAGATTGTACTATATTTAGGGGGGCAAGATGGTGGTTTTAACAATATAGGGTCAGGGAAAAATGTGTTCCTGACCCTATAACGTTCCTTTAAATATGAGAGAAGTAAACATAATATTAAACATCCTGAGAAATGACGTTCCATTTTAATTTATCAATACATTTTTGAATATTTATTTAATACAGTATTACCACAAGCGCATTATACATATGCATTATAGTCTCACATGGTTTTAATGGTATATTCAAATATAGAGTGTACAAGCAACTAAAACAATAATCAGTTGACACATTTAAATCTACAGTATTCTCCAAGTATTCCATAGAAGCTTACATGACAATCTATAAAGGGCAGTAAAAGTACTCTTTAATGGGACACAATACAGTGGTTCTGAGGCAGTAAGCCTGTCTCTGCAGGCTAAGCAGTGTAAAAGCTGTCTTTTCTAAGAAAAGGCAGTGTTTACACTCCTAAGGGAACCTAAATTAGCTGTCACACCACAGCCACTACAGGGACTTCCTGGGTTCAGTCTTTCAGAATATCCGTCCTGTGCAATGGAATTCTAAATGCTCCTCTTAGAGATTCACTTACTCACTACATCTCTATGAAGAAATGTTGATTGGTGCAGCATGGCGATTCGCCACACATACGCATTAGTGTCCCAATGCATTCCTATGAGGAAGCACAATATTGGTGGAGATTAGGGTTGATGGTCTCAGTCAGTGGAGGTAGGGTTGCCCAGGCGAGACCGGCACACGGAGTGGGAATAAGGTAGGTAAAACGCTTTTTAAAACAGCTTACAAGGAATTCATTTTATACAAATGACTCACTTTATGTAGTTGAAGTCTGATTTAAGATTTATACAAGTCCCTGAGGAGCTCTTCTTGAGGTCATGCATGGTGTTCTGCCATTCTTGGGCTGCAGCCCAGTCTGCAATTGCAATGTAGCACTCGCAAGCCTTGTTACCCAAGTAATTGATTACCTCGGGTAGTGGGTCACTTGGTTTTGAAAGAACAGTTTTACGGGCATCACCTGTAAAGCATAAAGAGCATGTTATGTACTCCATGAAACTAGGTGGTTGGAAAATCCGAGTGACAGATGGCTCATTACTGTATAAGTGCCGACAATAGAAAGTAAGTTACAAACCATTTGAATGCTTTGGGCTTGCAGTATTGCCACTGAAATTTGCCAATTTCAAAATGGACTTATCAAAACCTGTAGTACTGCAATCAACTCCAGTCATGGCACACAAATGTTCTTGATACTCAACAGCTGCCTTCTCAAACCTAGTGACAACATTCAAGGAAGGCAGAAATACATTTTCATTAAACTGTATAGTGAAGAAAAAAAAAAAAACAACAACTTTCTCCTAAAAAAACCCCAACAACCTTCTCCTTTACAGAGGGCAAATCTTTTGTTTATGAGACACTTTATTCACTTAATGAATAGTGCAGGGTAAACGAACACTTGAGCAATATAGTAGGGATCGACCGATTATCGGTTTTACCGATATAATCGGCCGATATTCGGTATTTTCGGCAATATCGGTATCGGCCAATTCAGATACCGATATTGCCGATAATACCTCTTAGGACCGCCGGGCTCATTACAAACCCGGCGGTCCTGGAGGGACGGGCAGCAAGCGCTTACTCACCTCCCAGCAGCTCCTCCAGCTCCCCAATGCAACTCTCGCGAGACCCGCGGCCGTCCGAGCGTTGCCATGGATCACCATGGCAACGCTCCGCGCGACACGATGGCCGCGAGAGTTGCATTGGGGAGCTGGAGGAGCTGTTGGGAGGTGAGTAAGCGCTTGCTGCCCGTCCCCCCAGCTCAGCCAATACCACCAGGGACTGTCATATCCCCCCTCCCTGGCCAGGTAACAAGCAGGGAGGGGGGACAACAAAAATAAATAAGAATTATACATTTTTTTTTTAAATAATTTAATAAAAAATGCCCCCTCACACACTGCATTATATACACATACACTACACAAACACACTGTGTATATAATACTGTGTGTGTTTGTATAGTGTGTGTGTGTTTGTATACAATGCACACAAATACACTGCATTATATACACACACTATACAAACACGCTGTGTATATAATGCAGTGTTTGTGTAGTGTGTTTATATAATGCAGTGTGTGTTTGTATAGTGTGTGTGTGTATAATGCAGTGTGTTTGTATAGTGTGTGTATAATGCAGTGTGTGTTTGTGTAGTGTGTGTATATAATGCAGTGTGTTTGTATAGTGTGTGTATATAATTCAGTGTGTTTGTATAGTGTATGTGTATATAATGCAGTGTGTGTGTTTGTATAGTGTGTGTGTATAATGCAGTGTGTGTTTGTGTAGTGTGTGTGTGTGTTTGTATACAATGCACACAAATACACTGCATTATATACACACACTATACAAACACACTGTGTATATAATGCAGTGTTTGTGTAGTGTGTTTATATAATGCAGTGTGTGTTTGTGTAGTGTGTTTATATAATGCAGTGTGTGTTTGTGTAGTGTGTTTGTGCAGTGTGTGTTTGTGTAGTGTGTTATATAATGCAGTGTGTGTGTTTGTGTAGTGTTTATATAATGCAGTGTTTGTGTAGTGTGTTTATATAATGCACACTACACAAACACACTGCATTATATACACACACTCTGCATTATATAAACACACTACATTCACTATACACACACTACACACACACACTCTGCATTCATTATATACACACACACTTTGAATTTAGTATATACAGCATTCACTTTACGCACACTACCCACACACTCTGCTTTCATTATATACACACTACACTAATACACACTGCATCCACTACACACACTAGACAAATACACACTGCATCCCCTACACAAACACACATTGCATCCTCCACACACTGCATCCACAACACACACACTACACAAACACACACAGCTCCCCTGTCACACTGCATCCACTGCACGTTGCATGTATATTTTGTGCATTTACCTTTAGAAATAGTTTTTATTTTCCAAAATGGTAAATGTACAGAATATCGGCAAATTATATCGGCTATCGGCCTGAAAGTTCACAGAATATCGGTATCGGTATCGGCTCTAAAAAATCAATATCGGTCGATCCCTACAATATAGTATAAATAAATCAGGAAAATCAGGACAGACTATGTATTACAAAGCTGTGGATTAACCAATTGTGTCTGGGGTAAGGTTCCACAATGGACAACAGACATGTGTATGCCCACCACTGTGCAAACTCAAAATACTTTACACCCTAAATGCCCACCATGCCGTCTAACTTACCTCCCATCAGCTTGTAGAGCCACAGAATTAATCCAAGAAAGGCTTTTTCCAGTAGCAGCTGAGGACCACACAGTCAGACCTTGGATAGCTTCTGGGCATTGAAGTTCACACAAAGCTTCAACTACCATCATTACGGTCAATTCAAACTCAGTACCCTAAAAAAATTATAACTGTTTTAGAAATTCTACTGCTCTACCTAAAAGCCCATTAAAAAGGAAACAGATACACTGCTTTCCCTTACAAAGCTAAAAAAGGAGAATGTATTCAACTACATTCAATATCTTGATAATATTCAATTTAAAGCATTTGAATTCAGTATTAAAGCCTGTTCCTGAGGCACATGACCATTCATAATCAACTTTAACTTGTTCATTTAGCTTAAACTACTTCTCATTAAGCATAATAATGAGTAAGACACACTGTATTCAGCAACTGTTCTCACCACGCAAAGATCATGGAGGAGGGTGTGTGGAGTCGTGTAATAGACATTTTATGTATGTTAGCAAGGACAAAACAGCTTTACTTTGCAGCCTACTCATTTCCATGATAAGCTAGTTGCAACAGAATTTAAGAGATGTGCTCAGGAGTACAGGGCAATAACTAGGCACATATTTGTGCCCTCTGGTGCAGATGTTAACCAAAGTATGAAAATGAAAGTTATACGAAATGAAAGACTTAATGGACATAAAGGGTTTTAAAACTTATCTGCCTGCATGTTTGTATTTCATGTTCACAAAGTAGATGTAAAAATCTAGAAATACAATTGCAGGAAAAACAAAAAACAATTCATTGCAACATTTGACAATTTTTTAAAAATTTTATTTTTTTTAGGAGAATGTAATCTACAGGGAATAAAAGGACACGTTACCTGATGCACGCTGTTGCTCTTCATTTCTGCGAGTAAATCAAACCCATGTCTGACAGTTACAGCGGGCTGACCAGCCAGCAATCCCACCCGCATGATAGCAATTCGTATTCGTGTGAGCCAGTCCTGGCATGTTTGACGGTTAGTGTAGAAGAAAGTTCTGATGACCTGTGACAGATATTACATTATATTAATTAAGATGTTTTCAATAACTGATGTGACAATAGAATAGTTTCTACTGAAGATAAAATGAGCAAAAGAAAAATGGTTATGTGGTTGGTATTCTAGTAGCTAATGAACACTGAATTTTACTCACTATAAGTTACTAATCTATGTAAACATACTAAGGCTGCACACTATAAGAGTTCCTCCTCTCTGGAAATCAGAGATGAAACAGCTATATATACCTCAGCATTTTCCCAAGCTGTCATACTATAGTGAACAGAGAAGAGACTAAATCATATTACAAACAGAAAAATTATTTGAAAGAGGGGACGGGACATTGATGCACTGTTTAACTTCATTATTGATCAAGGGCAGAGGAATTTGCAATGTATTCGCTCGTGATCTATGAAGGATGCTAAAATCCTTTGGAGCACAGTCTGAAAGAAATCGAATTCCCCGGGTGAAAATCACAAATGAATGATATAGCTCTGAATTCTCCGAGGTGTCTGGCTGCAGTTACCACGATAAGAGTCGTGATCGTCAGTGTCAGAAAGTAAAGTAAAAGACAAGGTGGGCTCAAAAAAGGAGTTTCATTAACCCCTTAAGGACCAAACTTCTGGAATAAAAGGGAATCATGACATGTTACACATGTCATGTGTCCTTAAGAGGTTAAAAGCTTGCATTACCCAGTTAATGAATCCTGGAAAAAATACTGCCTGCTCTAAAAATACATTTTATGTCCACAAATGACCACTCGGGCTGTTATTTGCAATTTTAAAGCACCTGGTTAATTCAAGCAATACTACACTAAAAATGCTTACCCAGAAAACTCAACAAGAAAGCATTTCCTTTATGCTTTGCCATAATATTGCAGAAATCACAAGTCTTCTACTTTTCAAGATTGTGATTCTTGAAGAGAATCCTTGATTAATGAGCAATCTTTCAGCCTCCACGTAGAAAGACTTCCGCGGTCCAGATCGTCAGAAAAATTAGGTTGCTATTGGGCAGGTGCCAAAATTGACATAAACCAACCAGAGCCCTGAGTCAAATGGTAGGACGTGGGAAGGCTTTACAAGCCTTTCCCTACCCTGTGCGGTGCCCTCGCTGGGTGAATTTTTTTTTTTGTGTCAGGATTTATTTTTTCACATTTTTTTTTGCGCTTGGTCTTTATTTTATAAATTCTACGTGCTTTTTTGGTTTTTAATTTGGCCTTTTTGGGGGCTGAAAAAATGATTTTAGAAAAAAAGACTTCAAACGGTATTTATTTTTATTTACGGTGACTTAGGTTTTTTTTTTTTTTTTTACATTTAGAGCCCCCACCCACCGCTCATGGTTGGGGTCCAGCGGAGGGAGAACAATAGGTCCCCCCCCCCTTATTTTCATGTAGGGCCCCCACCTGCTGCTCATGGGTGGGGGTCAGGGGACAATAGGTCTACCTCACCTGTTTTCTCTTAGGGCAGACACCCGTTGCTCATGGGTGGGGACCTGGGGGAGGACAATAGGTCCACCCCGCATTGTCATTAAGGGCCCCTGGGTGTGGGCCGGGGGGAGACACTAAGACATTTAGTTTAGTCTCTGTATGTGCAGTGTTGCATAAACAGGGTCCTCAAACCATGACCATTTCACAAGTCTGAATAAAACCTACTACATATTGGCCACTGCTTGAAAGCAGATAACTCTTCCTTAGACAGGATACATATCACCTGCAGCAACCCTGAGGCTTCATTAAGGGCATCCCTGTCCGAGTTTCTACATTTCTCTGGCAAATCATTAAAAGAATAAACCCAACTTACACTAACAAAAAAATAAAATACATAATATGTTGTGGAAGGGTATCCTGGTTTCCTCTTTTGCAAGCAACTCATTTGGTTCCAGACCCATGAAAATGGGCAGGAATGCAGGAACTAGGTGAAATCAAGCATTTGTCATAGAGGACCAACCTTTGGAGGCGAAGTCAATGCATTGGCACATCCTTCATAAGCATTGTACATCAGCTTGTCCAAGTTCTCCAAATACTGAAGGAGGAGGACCAGCCTCAACTGGTTGTTACCATGTCCCTCGTCATTGTCTGCAGTGGTCCACTGAGCAACGTCTTGATCTGGGTTCAGAGTATGAGCTGCCAGGCTTCGGATAATACCTTTAGAAGAAAGATTTACATTATTCCAAACAAGAAATTATCAAATGCTCTAGGGATGTTTGGCTGCAATTAAACAACACAACGCAGGGTCAGTTATATTTGTTACCTTCAGACATGCCACTTATCTATTAAGAAAATAAACAATGTTAACAGCTGAAACCAATCCAGAGAGCATTGTTGATGTCAGGATACGTGAATTCACAACAACTCTTGATTACATGCAGCTACAATTATCAGTCAGACAGGTAATATGTCTGACCTTAAAGGGTTACTGCAACCACCACGACCACTTCTGGGTTTATATGCAGTCATGGTGGTAGTGACTGTATGTCCAGAAATATTTGCACTTTTGTGCCGGGATTTGATTGCACTCTGACAAACATGACTTAGGCAGCACGGAACATACGCACATGTATATTTGTTTTGCTATTTCTTATGCAGCCGTAATACCTTCAATAGTTTGGAACGTATCTTGTGCCCTTCCCAGTGGTGTTCGCAGCTTTGAGAGAACTGTAAACTGAGCTGCCTCCCACACTGCCCATTGCCACAGCACAGCATCGGTCTTCAATAGATTGCGTGGAATGGGTGATACATCGGGTTTGTCTAATCGCTGGCAGCTGTGGAATAACCTTTCCAACCAATTGTCTTTCCTAGAGATGAAGAGTGGAAAAAAGCCATAAGCACAACATACAAGCTTGAACTTTCTCCTAATTTCATATCTAATCTCCTTTTGTGTCTTAACCTCTGTATTAAACAAATTTACAGACCAGCAATAACAAACTAACCTCAATAAAAAGAAATGAAACTCATTTTTTCAAATGCAATTACAAATATTGAATTCTGATACATCAGCAACAGCATTCCTCTTGTTTTTGGTTTGTGAGTTTTAAACTAGGAATGCTGGATAGCATATAATGGATATGTACTATATTAAGGCCAAGTCAGCCTATCATTAATAGGGTTATTCACTAGAGCCCAAATGGCCCCGTACTGAATGGGGCCAAACCCATCTGGATTATAAGAAATCCAGAGCACTCTGACAGGCAAGTCTCATTTCTCACAAGACTTGCATGGGAATATTTATTTTGCTGACTTGAAAGCTCAGTCTGTGTGGAAGCCTTATATTGCTAACACAGACCTTATTTTTTGTGCCACAGTTTTAATCACCTTCATCCCAATTTGTCCCCCTGGTTTAATAGTAGCATTGGGACATAATGACAAGATTTTTATTTTTTAAAATTCTTTATTTTTTTGTGCATAAGGTTTGCTACGCCACCAAAGCTGTAAACAACCCTTCAATAATATATATTACATGGCATATTGAATAACGTGCACAATTTTTAAAATTAAAATAAACTTGAATATCAGGCTATTCGGGCATGTCCAGCTGTGAGATGGGTGAGTTAATCATATTGATGCCCCGCTGTTATGACAAATTTAGTTAAGAAAGAGTATTACAAACAGGCCAAGTACCATGCTTTGTAATCAAGCTGATGGGGGTGGCTGCCCTGAATTATGATTAACGCTAGGAAAACAGGGAGTATTATTAGACCTCAGCACTCAGCATCACCAGAAGTATGAAACAAGTGTAGGGTGTACGTAATAGTAAAATAACAGGCGAAATATGCATGACACCAACGTATAACTAAACAGGATAAGTAGGTTAGACTAACATATCATTATGGACTTCCTAGGTAATG